GGGGGGGGGGGGAGAGAGAGAGAGAAGAGGCGTGAGCGAGGTTGAGGCTGACTTACGGGCGCTTGCTGCTGGGTCGACGAGAGATACGGGCGCAGCGCCACGCCATGGCCGGCAAACGCGGAGCTTGTGCACTGGCACTGCCTCGCGGCGTTCACGATAATAACAAATAAACAATCCTACATACTACTTACTCCTACTGCTGTACTATTATTATTGCTCGCGCCCTTGCAGCGCTAGCCCGTAGCCTGGTTCCATGGGCGTCGTTGCGTGTGTGGCGCCGAGCTCCACGTTCCCCCCCGACACATGGCGTCGCTCCTCCTAGACACGACTGTCACTTTTGTTTGACATTTTGACGTCGATTCGATGACGCGCATCACCGATTTTCATTCTCTTTCCCCGCCAAGAGCAGGTCGTCATCTCGCTGTCCTCGACTCAGCCCCCAGCACCGCCCATAAACACCACGCGTCGCAATCGCGCTGCTGCAGCCACGCCTTGGCAAACTAGAGCCCTGCCGGCAGGCTCAACTAGGTAGGTAAGTAACGCCCACTTGCCGACGCCATACCGACTGTGCCGAGGTGCGGTCGAACAAGTCCCGAACGGTTCATGTAGTCCTCGGTCATATTTCGTCATGACTTGGGTGGTTTGATTGCCCGTTGTCCAGTCGACAATTGCCATCTACTACTTCGTATAGGCCTGAACATGTCCGTAACCCGCGCTCATGGGTAACAAGGACGGACTGGATGACTTGACCGACCAGGCCTCGTGCCCGCCGCGAGCTACCCCAGCTTGCCGACTTCCCCACACCTGAAGATGCGGGGATCCCAAGGTGCGGAAACATGCCGCTGTTCGGCATATTATAAACGACGACCATCATCACCACCGCTGATCCGTAGGTACACCCAACTTCCACCATGGACAGTCCCGTAGCAGTAGTCACAGGCGCCTCCTCAGGCATTGGTCTTGCTCTGACCCAACATCTCCTCGAGAAGGGCTGGTACGTCGTCCTCATGGACGTCAACGCCCCGCCATCCAGTGCCGCACTCCCCTCGGACTGCACGCTCTATATCCGCACCGACGTGTCCTCGTACGCTAGCCAGGCGGCCGCCTTCGCGAGTGCGCATGCCTGGCGACAGCGGCTCGACTTTGCCGCTCTCAATGCCGGCATTGACGACCGCGATGACATCTTCAATACCATATCCGAGGATGCTGCACGCCCACCTCCCGAGCCGAACATGGCCACCTTCCATGTCAACCTCCTTGGCGTATATTACGGCGTCAAGCTCTTTGCGCACTACACCTCTCTGCCCTCGACCCAGTCCAGCAAAGGTAGCCCTGGCGGGGACATCATTGTCACTGCTTCCGCGGCCGGCATCTACCCACTGCCAGCGATCCCGCAGTATGCGGCCACGAAGCATGCTTTAGTCGGATTGGTGCGGTCCTTGGCGCCAACGGCACAAGAGAAAGGCTTCACAGTCAACGCCATCTGCCCGGACATGGTGCCCACAGGGCTAGCGCCACCAGGGCTCATGAAGGAGTATCCGGAAGCCTTGAAGACGCCCATGGCGACGATGATGCGGGCGTACGACGAGCTACTCGGCCTGGACGGCAGCAGCAATAAGAACGGGGCAGTCGTCGAAGCCGTCATGGACGACGTGATTTACCGGGAGGCCCCCACGAGGAACAAGAAGCACAGCGAGGTGGGCGACGACATTGCAAAACTCTGGGACCAGGTGTACCGGCAGCGCAACATAGCGTTTTCGCAAAAAGCAGCGGAAACGGGGGGCGCCAAGCTATGATAAGGAGGAATGAAGGGCGGGGCGGAGAAGCGGAGGGGCGGAAGAAGGGGGGCGGAGAGGAGAGGAAGGAAGAGAGCGGGCGGAAAAGTCATTTCCGAGTGGAGAGGAAGAGAGTGGAGAGGGGGGAAGACGGAGCGGGGGAACGGGGATCGTGAGCGCACAGACGCGCAGGCCAAGAGACGGACAGGCACAGTGGCAAGGGGACGCACGCACTCGGGAGGCCTTAGTGGCGACGACGGGAAGAGCAACGGGATCCGGGGCGGCGCGCAAAAGCAGCAGTGAGCAAGCGGGCGGGTGTGCGTGCGTGCGAGCCGCCAACCAAACGCCCAACCCACCCTGCCCTAGCGGCACGCTCCATCTCACGATGCCGCACGCTCCACCTCACCATGGCCCTGCCCTCGATTCGAGCCGTACCTAGTCCGTCCCTTAGTGCCATCGCTCCGATCGAGGGGGTCCACGGCTCTTGCGCCACTCTTGCGTGCCCCAACGCCCACCCCCACTCTATATTCCCACGATACGCCGCTCCGTCTACCCTCCTGGGTCGTGCTGTGGCGATTGCTACCCTAGTCCTCCTGCGTACCCCGTCGGTGATCACACTCACGATCCCCACAATCCCCGTCCCGCGAGCCCTCGCTCGGGAAAAGACGGGATGCGCGCGTGGATGCTCCTTTGGGACGCTGATCTCGACAACCTTGACTCGACGTCTGTGGATTCTGAAGTTGCATTTTCTTTATACAGTCAAACCTCGTTACAACAGTTCGGCGGGTCAGCAGCTTCCGACTGATAAAATTAACATAACTGTTTACGACGTTTCTTTTGTTATGACGGCAAACCGTAGCCGAATATATCGATAAACGCCCTTTTGAGAGTACGAATCCACTGACCAGCTCAAAACGTTATAACCAGCCTTGACTGCATGTGAGGTGGATCAACAAAGTTGTTCTAGAAGGATTTCGCCAGCCTGGCCCTTAGCTGGAAGTCGCGTGTGGAGATTGTGGTACGGAACGCAGTCACAACAGTGAAACACCAAAGAACAAGATGCAAGATGAAAAGATTCTGAAAGTTTTTGTCTTGGGCTCATCTACGGGCAGCAATCCCCGTAGGCAGCTGCAAATAATCGTCTAACCTATGCACCATGTGCGTCTACATTTCAGGGAAAGAGGTCTATTCCCACCGTTAAAACGCCAACGCTTGCGATGTCTCCCACCGCGAGTAGTCTATCGAAACCGTGTGTGAAGCCCGTGCTAAGCGAGTCCCGCAAAGAAGAAAACCGATGATGCTGAAAATGGACATGTTTTTGGTCGGGTATCGTGTCGAACGGTTGACCAGGAAGTAAAAACGCTCAAAGCGAGACGCTTACCAAAGGGTGTAGCCACCGTCGATGATGTTGTTAGCGCCGGTCATGAAGGCGCTGGCGGGGGAAGCGAGGTAGACGGCCAGGTTGTTCAGGTCGTCGACGGCACCAAGGCGCTTCTGAGGAGTCTGGTCGATCCAGATCTTCTTCTGGGCATCAAGAGCAGGGACGCGGTTAAGCGCAGTGTCCATGTAGCCAGGAGAGATGGAGTTGACACGGATACCGTGGCGGGCCCACTCAGTGGCAAGGGACTTGGTAAGCTGAATGACACCCGCCTTGGAGGCGTTGTAGCAGCTCTGCTCCTGAGGATAGTTGACGATGGAGCCAGACATCGACGCAACAAGAATCATGGAGCCGCCGTTCTTAGACTTGATCATCTGCTTTCCGACGGCCTGCGCAACAAGGAAAGCACCAGTCAGGTTGATGTCGACAAGACGGCGGAACATCTCGGTGTCGTAGTTCTCGGCCTTGATGTTGGAGCTACGATATCGTTAGCAGGAACATAGAGCGCGCGATAGTCAGGTGAACTTACTCGGCAATACCAGCAGCGTTCAAAAGAACGTCAATCTGACCATAGTGGTCAACAATGTCGGAGACGGCCTGGTTGATGGCACCGCCATCACGGACATCGACCTGGTAGAAACGGACGTCGACGCCAGTCTGCTCGGACAGCTCACGAGCAGCTTCCTCACCCAGCTTCTGCTGGACGTCCATGATGGCAATGCCGCTGACGCCGACCTCGGCGAGAGCCTGAGCCATGTTGAAGCCAAGACCACGGCCACCACTAGGTAATGTCAGCAACGACTCATCATCGGCGGTAGGACAAAAGATAAGACTTACCCAGTGACAACGGCAACCTTGCCGGGAAGAGTGAACTTCGCCATGGTGGGGTTCAACTTGGAAAGGATGGACTTCTCGAGGGGAACGGCAACCTTCCTGTCATCGGCACCAGCGGGAGCAACAGGGCCGTTCTGCTGCTCAACAGGGAGTTCAATTTCCTCTCTCATGCCATCCTTGTAGGAAACGATGGGCACCTTTCCAGCGCGGATCTCTTCAGCGTTCTGCTGCTGCTGAACAGTCTTGAAGCCGCGAACGGCGGTGGCGGCACGAGGAGCGACGCGCTTGGAGGCGACGCGGGCAAAGCTGCGAGCAAGCATTTTGGTTGATGAAGGTTGAAGTATGCTAGGGTTGAACAATAAGAAGTCGAGGTGGTTGTTGAAGAGAAGGGAACTCGGGGAGAGTGGGAGCCCTTAAGTAGGTGTGGGTGTGTGAGTGTGTGAAGGCGGAAGGCGTGACGCAAAGGTCGAAAAGGGAAGGAAGTGGTGAATGGGAGAAGCTGGAGTGAGCAAGCGAGCTGAGACGAGCAAGGCGCCCTTTTATTCACCCTGTGGCCAGTGTGATTATTCAGAGGGGGGAGAAAATGGCCTCTCGCCCTTTTGCAAACCAGCGGTCCACATTTCTGCTTTTGCCAGCGTCAATGCTCCTGAAAGCCATGCAGGGTTCGGCGATCCGTGCAAAGCTAGATGGATCCCACCTAGCGGGTCCAGCGAGATCCGCGCAACGCCAAGTGCCACCGCCGCGCGCTGGCCGGTGGAAAGCCAGAGTGTCGAGGCCCCAACACCCAAGCAAAGCCCGGCTGACCCGCGCGTGCAACAATGGGAGCACGCAAAACTGCGAGTGCCGGGCTGTGCTTCCCGGGAAGCTGAAATGGGCCTCAATCTGGCATCATCCTTCTCCACAACACACCCACTACGAACCCGCCTCGCGCTCCACCATCTTTTAGCCACCGTCATCAACGTCAGGTCCCAGCTCACCGACTTCGCTCCTGCTGCATGAATAATACACACCCCCCGGCCGGCTTTGCATACGGCCTGCATGCTGGCAAAAAGCAACACAGGCACAGGTGCCGGGGCTGACAGTGTGGGAGGTTTGCCGAGGCGTGGCAGTTTCTACGGCCTATCCAAGGCCTATTGAGTTGTCGCGCTTCGCTCGTGTCCCTATCTCCGTCTCTGCAATGTGGCGTCCTGGGCCCCTGGCACGCGAAGTGATCGCCGACGCTTCTTCCAACCTTCGCCCGAGCATCGTCTTAAAACAGCTCGCTTCTCCATAAAACCCGCCACGCCAGACGGCACCAGCGGGCAGCGGCCAGCCCTTTCGGCCCGCCACAAGGCACTGGTCAAGCAAAATTCCTCAGCCCTACCGGCGGAGCCCGCCACGCCTCCGTGTCTTGGAAGGTTTTTTTCCTCTTCCTTTTTTTTTTTTTTTTTGTTCGCCAGGCACCTTGAGGGACGGCCCGAGAGGCGCGCCTCGACTGGCCCGTAGAGTGCCAGCTGTGCTTTTTGCTCTTTCGACCGTGGTTCAGCACGTGGCTGCGGGTGAAAGCAGCAATCCTTGAATGACAACGCTCCGAGGTGCGGTTGATTTAGTCATGTCCATTGTTGCCGACAACAATCAAACCAAGTTATGATGAAATATGACGGAGAGCTAAACAAGAAGTACCATGTCCACTCCACTGCGCAATCAACAATGGTTGTTGAGGCTACATTCTAGAGCTGCGAGTGAGCTGCAGGTGTGCTGCACACAAACTAATTGGGACTTGTTCGGCCGCGCCTTGCTCTTGGCTGCTTATCCGAATCCCAGGATCCTCGGGCAGTCAGCCAACGCTGGAAACCAAAGTGCCGGTGACCCAAAAAGCAATGTCACTGTTTCTGGCGGTGGGAGGCTCTGCGCTGCGTGCGCACGCCCGTGTTGCATCCGCCCTTCCCCGGGCTCGGCAGTTGCTATTTTGAGTTGACAATATCTCCGTGGTCCGGTGTGGGGGTTCAAACATGGGGTCATCCCATCAGTTCAACCTTCGCCGGGGCCAACGGCGGTCTCGATCGCGCGCGCGGCGTAGTGGCGGACATCACGATGGACGGCGCCCCGACCTCCCTTTGTCTGGAGCCGCCTCCGCTGTGGCTGCTGCGTGCGGATGCTTGACTAAAACCACTATTATCATACTATATTCCTTGCGGCTGTCTTCCCCCTCACCCCTTTCCGCACGGGAGCGACCCTGGCGGCCAAGCGAGCGAGCCGCTCTCTCCTGTTTCGCGCGCTCAGCTGCTCGCCTCCTGCTTTTGCGAAGACGGGCAACCCAGACGCGTCATTTCCTGTCACAAGGACAAGCTACGACTCAGTGCGTCTCGATGGCGGAATAAGGAGCCGCAATATTCGCCATGCAGCGGGACCATCGGCTCCCATCACGGTTGCGGCGAGTCTAGCGCAATCTGTACCGATCAAGTGATGCCCCTCTGATCGCTCATTTCTTCTTCCACCCCAAACTCCATCCGTTCCCGCGGTACAGGAACGAAGCTCCATACGAGGGCGATCGCCCACGCGACGCGTTTTTGCGGCTGCCGGGCACAGTCAGCTCGTACCGCACCACGGTGCCGCATTCATAAATCGTTGCGCCATCCCCGTCTCTCACGCGTCTCGTGCAAATCATTATCAGCCAGGTAAATCTTCGCCAGGAGAACGTTGAACCTTGCTTTTTTCGATGACGCAGGGCTCGTGAGCTGATTGAAGCACTGGTTGAGGCATCTGACAGTCGTACGGTTGCTCTCGAATGGCGGTGCCTGTCTCACCATCCCATCAGCCATGGCGTGCCACATTCCTTGGCAGGGGATCTGGCAGACTTCCAGAAAACATGCCATAGCCGCATGGGGCTGCTGCATGAGCCGGGTCTTGTACGAAGTTAAAAGTAAGTGTATTTGTTTTTTCGATTTTATTTCCATCACAGCATGTCGCTTCTGTTATCTGCATTTCCCGAACCCCTGGTGGAATTTATCAAGCACAACGGAGTCCCTGGTACATACCGTCTGCTCTCCGACCCGCCCATTCCATCCACTCTCTGCGGATTCTTTTGCACGTAGGTCACTAGAAGTACCACCTGATGAGGTGAGCCTATAGGTTCAGCTCAGGTCTATAAGACATCGGCACTTACAGACCTGAGTATATTTTGAAACCGGTTACACACTTTTGCTCACCAGGCAGTCAACAAATTGTCAGCGAACAATGCGAAGAAAACGGAGGTTATGAGTGCAACTGCAACAAAGGGCTTATTTAATTATGCTGACCGCGGCCTGCTATTGAAGTGCTTTTTATGCAATAGCTGGCTCAATCTGGTTTGATGTTTGTGTTTGCTTCAAAAAAGCGGTCCAAAATGTCCACGGGTATGGTCAGCAATCCAAACTCATTGTGGATACAACAACTTGCCTGCAAATGGGAAGGTCCATGTCCACGAGACGTGAATTAGGTCTTGAGGGAAGCAATATTGCTCTCTCGACTTGTAATTTGGCGATTGCAAATACACGGATGATTTTACACGTCAAACTTCCATCCCCCCAAAATGCGCGCAGGTGTCGGGACAAGAAGCAATCAAAAATTATGTATATATTGCATACAAATAATGATGCTAATCATCAATATCCCAGTAGCACCAGTAGCTCAGGGGTAGAGCGCAGGATTGCAGCTAATACTGCAACCATCCCGAGGTCAGCGGTTCGAATCCGCTCTGGTGCTATCTTTTTGCTTTTTGCACCTTCATTTGAGCCAGGAATTGGCATTTGATTTTGCATGGACCGCTGACTGCATATCGAAAAAGCCATTTCACAGAGTATGTGATGATTTTGGCTGGTAACGCGGGAAAAACGTGTTATTGGGCACGTCTTTCTCGCACACTTCGCATCCGCACTCTCCCATAACACCCACAAACGCAACCGGCGAGACTGCCTTTTACAAAAAAACATTCTCTCCATCTTCACACAACATTATGCAACTCGTCTCTAGTCACACAAGTTGCCTGTGGTCAAAGAGAAGCTAACAGACGGCAGGGCGGGAAAGGTTTCACGCTAGATTCTCCAGCCATGGTTGATGGCTGATAGGATTTGGGAAGAGCTCAGCTTGGCAACACGCCGCAACCGCGGTCGATCCATGCAATCTATTGCGGCTCTCTCGATCGCCATGAGATTGCCGATTCGCTACAGAACACCGGGTTCATCAACATCACCATGAACATCTCAGAGTCGCAAACAACACGAAACTGGCACCTAGAGTTAGACCGTTGCGATGTTAAGTTTGCAGACTCCAACAACTTTCTATCTCGCGACGCGAAATGCTCTGCAGGCCTAGATTAAAAGAGCTAGGAGCCCCAGGTCACCATAGACGCGGGGTCCAGGATTCCCGTCCCGAAACTCCTAGTACTACCATTTTGGATCGGTAGTTAAGGCATCCGACACGACGATGCCGACCCTCGTGGACTAAAAAGGCTACTAAGCAAGGATCAGAGCGGCCCTGGCGGAGCCATCCATCTTCTTTAAAATGATGGCCGTCGCTCCTTGGGCAGTGTTTCTAACTTTTTACTGCTTCATTGCCCGTTAAGGCAGTGGAGTTAAAACCTCAACAGCTTTCGGACCGGAAAGATATGCAGACTGGCCTGGAGCCATGAGCTCGGAGCGAAATGGCACTTACAGTACCCTGGAGGTAGACAACAGGCTGATTGTTGTGAGCGAGAAGGATGGGGCCCTGAAGGCGGCGGCGGCGGGGCAGTACAGCGACCTACCAGAGATGTATGACGATGCTGGCAATCTACCTGAGGTCTACGAAACGACCAGTTACCGAAGGTGTAAAACCACGGTCTTCCAGAAACAACATAAGGGCAGGAGAGCGACGCTGCAGACGTACCCCCCCTAGAAGCTCCATCCAAGGAACCAACGATATGCGGCCTACGCAAGAAAAAAATTCTGGATCATATTTGGCATCGTACTGTTGGTAGTTGTGGGTGTTGCCCTGGGAGGCGGCCTCGGAGGAGGATTGTCCAATAAATCCTCGGGAACAAACAATACCTCAGACAATATTGGAACAAATAGCTCGTCTTCGGGTGAAGATTTGTCAGATGATGATACGTCAGATCCGAATACTCTGTTACCCACAACACGCTTCACGAGCCTCAATTACACGGACGAGAACGATATCGAGCATTACTTGGTGCATTACCAAATGCGGTCGAAAGTAATCTTCCAGTCCGCTTGGAATTCTTCAGACCAGGAATGGGTAGCATCGCGCGTGACCAACGAAACCGTCACTAAGAAGGCCATAAAAGGGACGCTACTGTCAGTTGACATATACTGGCACAGTTCATCAGTAAAGACGAACGAGAGGTAGCTACAACATTTCCAATTACAACTAACACAGCAACACAGCGCCGCGACTTCCACAACAGCTTCATCCAAGAAGTCGTAATCAGCAACCCCAGCAACAAGGACTGGCCCAACGGCGGCATCAGCGGCAAACTGCACATGAACAGCGACGGGGACCTACCTAACAACGTACGGCCGCGCATGCGCCAGCTGCCGCAACATCAACTTCGTCATCTGGTAGCAGTCTAACACCGACGCGCTGTACCTCACCATCCTGAGCTCAAACGACTGGAGCCAGTCGCGGATTTCAGAGACGGCGACGCGGGCGCCCATGGCTAATACCCGCTTGGCCCTGGTGCCGTCTGATAATGCCTCTGAGACCCAGGTCGCGCTATACTATACGCTCGCGACGGGGTACGTGCAGGAGCTCTTCTGAAATATGGCGAAGCTGAACGGTACGGGCTGGATCGTTGGCTGTGAGTACACTCCTCTCTCTCTCCCCTTCTCTCTCTCTCCTTCTCTCTCTCTCCACACAAACACACACACACACACACACACACACACACACACACAAAACACCAACCTAACCCCCCCTTTTCCCTCCCCCAAGCAACCTTCAACACCGCAACCACAACCACAACCACCAGCATCCAACCTCCAACCCCTCCTCCTCCTTCGCCGCCCTCTCGCGCATCCCCTCCAACAGCAGCACGACAAACACGACGCTCGAGTTCCTCACGACCACCAGCTCCTCCTCCTCCGCCAGCAACAACGCACTCTTCTAGCCCTTCCGCAGCGATACCGGCGTCTAGGCTGCGCGCAACGCACCACCTGCTCTCGACAACATCCCCGCGGGCGCGCCGCTGGCGCTGGACCAGGCGAGCGGGCGTACGCTGTCGTGGGTGTGAGGTTGTCGAGTTTGCGCTGGAAGGGGATGGGGGAGCTGAGGTAGGAAGGGCGGTGTGCATACGGCGGAGGGTTGAGGTGCGGTGTATGCTGCTTGTTGCGTGGGGAGGGAGAGCTGTCTGTCTGTCTGCTTGTGGGTGGTGGGTTTCTGCTGTGTTTAGTTGGAGTGAGGGGCGAAGGGAGTTGGCTGCGCGTGTGTCCTGGAGGCTGTGCGCCTCGTGGGCTAGGGCCTGCTTTTAAGGGCTCTGGGAGGGGTTTAGGGGGTTCGTAGTTGCCGGTCCGCATCCCCGCATGGTGCTGTTCAGACGTACGAGAAATCGCCTTCCCCGTGTCCGCGAGAGAGGCTCTGGCGTGCCGGTTTGGGAGGCCCTGATGTATACTTGGAAGCGTAAGTACGTGTTCCTACCACCACAGGTTTTGCACTCACTCCGTTCACTGTACATGATGGTTTCTGCTGAGATATCCGACGTTGCTTGTTTTTATATTACATATACCCTGTATCTGATGCTTTTACTCTATCAACTTCCACTTATTATCTCTAAAGTAGATTCTTCAGACCATGAGATCGTCCTAGCTGCCATCTCAGATAGGAGCAGATATCCAACACCGCACTCCAGCCGGAAGCACACGCAGCCGCACTGCTCAGGCATCTGTCTTCCTTTGCACAGCCACCTCCTTGGCACTCAAGCCTTTCGGAGAGCCAACCTCCTTAGCACCCAAGCCCTTAGAAGAGTCCATCTCAGCGCTCGCGCCCTCCAGCCCCTCCGACCTCTCCGACTTTTCCGGCCTCTCCGGCCTCTCCGGGCCCTTTTCGGCCGTCTCCCGCCTCTCCGCCGACTTCTGCTCAGCGGGCTGGTCCGGCTTGGCGGTCCTGACGCTCTTCCACTCGACAGCCACGCTGCCAAAGAACGACAAACAGCACATAGCCACACCGACGATGAAGGCCTTGATGAGAGCGCGGTTGTACGCTTCTATGACGGCAGGCAGGTCGGCAGGGGCGACGGCGGCGCGCAAGTCCGTGGCACCGGTGCGCACGACGACGCGCGGATCGAGACCCGCGAGCTCGCGCACGCCGCCCACCAGCTGCGACGTGAAGATGTTCTGGGAGACGGAGAGGAAGACGGCCGCGCCCAGCTGGTTCGCGAAGAACATGAGTGTCGTGCCCGTCGGCACGTCGGCGCGCGACAGCACGCATTGCACCGACACGTTGGCTTGCTGCATGCCTAGGCCTAGCCCGAACCCGAATATCACTTGGTACCCGATCCACTTGGCGTGTCCCGTGTTGGGCTCGAACGTCGTGATTAGTCCGGCTCCCACCGATGCTACGATCGAGGACGCGATCAGGAACGGCGTGTAGTAGCCGAAGCGCGTGACGGATGCGCCGGCCATGATGCTCGCGATGACGAGGGCGATGATCAGGGGTAGACTCATTATACCAGATTTGAAGGCCGAGACGTTCTTGATGGCCTGGAAATAGATGGGTCTGCGAGACGTCAGTGAGTTACTTGCGAAAGTTAGTGGTGCAAGGTTGACGTACAGGTAATAGACCATGACCATCATCGAAGAATAGGCGCAGAACAGGTAAAGGAATGCGGCAGCGACGGTGCGTTGGGTAATGACACGAACAGGAACTGTTGCGGTTTCCGGTGTGAGGATCTGGATGGCTACGAAGGCCACGAAGAGAACACCAAAGATGACAAAAAGCGCTATTATGCGGCCATTGCTCCACGCGTAGTTGGTGCCGCCCCACTGAAGAGCAATTAAGAGACAAATCATGCTTGGAGTGAAGCACATGGTTCCCACGGGGTCCAATTGGAGGATCTTGTTCTTGATTCCGAGTCCAGCGTTCTTGGGAGCAGGGGTGTGTGTAAGGACGAAGAAGATGATGGCCATGGTGAAGCCGCCAATCGGTAAATTGATGTAGAAGCACCAGCGCCATGAAATCTTCTCTGTAAAAGCACCTCCCATCAAGGGCCCAGCAACCGATGCGATACCAAAGAGAGCACCTGCCATTCCTTGGGTGATGGGCCTCGTGCGAAGCGGCACCAGCGGGATGATAAGGAGTATCCCGCCAGTGAAGACGCCGGCGGACCCAAGGCCAGCGATGGCTCGACCAACGATAAAGGACGTCGAGGTAGGAGCTGCACCGCAAATAGCAGACCCGACCTCAAAGAGCGAGAGGGACGACAGGTAGACGTATTTGGGGTTGTAGAAGGTGTAGATGCGACCAATGAGGAGCTGCATCGAGCAGCTAGTGAGCAGGTAAGCGCTGCCATACCAACCTACATCTTTTAGCGACTTGAATTCATTGGTGATGATGGGGATCTAGGCGTCGTTAGCGCCGAATGGGCGAGGTACTTCACATGGGTACCAAACGTACGGCTGTAGCGATAATGGTCCTGTCCTGTGATAGGTATGGTCAGCACGCATGCCACCAAGGGCACAAATGACACAATACGCACGAGTGCGACTAGGAAGATGCCTAGATATAGGCCGGCAATAATTGGCACGACGACTCGCGCGGGAGGGAATGTCAGGTCCTCTGTAGGAGGCCCCGGCGGGGTTGGGGCTTCGGGATCAGGGTGAGGGTGAGATTTGATGTCGTCCGTCATGACGTGAAAACGAGAGGAAGAAGGGAAGAAGAGAGAGGGGGAGAAAGCATGATGGGTGTAGTAGTTATAATGGACATGGCCGAGAAGGCCGTGGGCTCGGGCCCGTCTGAGTGGGACAGTAGAGAGGAAGCAGCTGCAGACAGCCGCATCGCGCAACAGATTGGCCAAGCCGGGTGGAGGAGAACCGACGGGACAGCCGTGTGCGGCGACTTAGCGCTTGGGCAGGCGGCCACGAATAATCGGACGCCTGCCGCCCGAAAAGCCGATTCCGGAGACGCCGGCCAGTTTCCCCGAAGCCTCCCCCATATCCCCCGCCCGCTCCCTCCTCTTCCATTCCCCTTCTTGTGTTTCATCGATCCCTCTTACCGCCCGTCTCCTCTCTCATGTCTGCTGCGCCCTCTCCGTCTCAGGGCCCCTCCTCGCCTGCCGCGGGGTTTGCCACTGCTGCTCCGTCCGTCATGCCTTCCACCGAACAGCCTCCGCTGCCCACACCGAGCTCGACCGGTGCCTCCGACCAGCGTCCTTCCATCCCGCCCGAGCATCTGAAACCCAACGCCTGCGTCAGTTGCCAGCGCCGCAAGGTCAAGTGCGACAGGACCGAGCCCTGTTCCTCCTGTAAGCGCTATCGCACCCACTGCGAGTTCCGCGACCCCGCGCCCCGTCGCAAGCGTAAGTATTCGGAAGAGGACCTGCACGCAAAGCTCGACCGCTACGAGAGCCTGCTCAACAGCTTTGGCGCCCGCGTCGACAGCAAGCCCGAGGCCGCCTCCACCTCCGGCCCCGTCTCAACGCCTTCTTCAGCCTTTACCCCACTGAATGCCGCTCGAACAAACGGCGCCCAGACGGAGCCTGTCTCCAGGTCCCGTGATGCTGCCCTGCCCGTGAGCTCTCCGCTGGCCTCGGCCCAAACTGCTGGCCCCGGAAGGCTAGTTTTCGATAAAGGAAGCTCTCGATACATCGAGAGCAACCTTTGGAAGGGCCTCAGTGATCAATTCAAAGATCCCAAGGAGATGTTGCAAGAACCCCCTAATGGCCAGCAGAGCAGACAGGTGCCAGCACCTGCCCCTGGCTCGTATCAACTCGACGAAGGAGAGTTCGTTTTCGGTCTTTCCCAAGGCCATCCCACCAGCCTCCGGGCGCTGCACCCCCAGTCTGCGCAAATCTTCCTTCTCTGGCAGGCTTTCTTGGACAACGTCAACCCGCTCACCAAGTTGTTACACGCCCCGACGGTTCAACGCCAAATTCTCCAGGCATGCAGCAATCTCGAGGAAGTAAGCCAAGAGTTGGAGGCTTTGATGTTTGCCATCTACCATTTCGCCGTTGTTTCCATGTCTCCCGAAGAATGCCAGGCGACTCTCGGAGCAAGCAAGTCGTCTCTCCTTTCCAAGTTCCAGTATGCCACTAAGCTCTCTCTCATGCGCGCCGGCTTCCTCAAGTCAACCGACTTGGTGGTCCTGCAAGCCTACGTGCTTTACTTGGTAAGTCCTGCACACGTAGGGACCGTTGCTTTGCGAGGCCGGTGTTGCTAACGCAGATTCACAGTTGGCCATGCGTCAATACTACGACGTCCAAACCCTCTGGTCCCTCAGTGGCATTGCAATTCGCATGGCCCAACGTATCGGTCTGCACCGTGATGGCAAGAGGTTGGGCCTGCCCCTTTTCGATGTCGAGCTTCGTCGCAGACTCACTTGGCAAGTGCTGCCGCTCGATGCACGCACAGCCGAGATCTCCGGTGCCAACACTTCGGTAATGAACCGGATATGGGACAAGGAACTCCCGCTCAATGTTAACGACAGCGAACTCAATCCGGACATGAAGCAACTGCCCGTCGAACACACCGGGCCGACAGAAATGTTCTTTTGTCTCTTGCGGTACCAATTTGCAAAAACTATGACTACCTCGGCGTTTTGGAGTCACGAAGAGTTTCCTGCGGACAAGCCGGAGGTCGCCAAAGCATCAATTGCCGAAAAGGACCGACTTGTTGACGAGTTGGAGCAGGTGCTCGAGGATAAGTTCCTCAAGCACTGTGACGCTAGCATCCCGCTGCACTACCTGACGGCCATCGTCGCGCGTTGCGCTCTCTCCGTCATGCGACTGAGGGCACACCATCCACGGCAGTATTCCGACCGAGGCGCCTCGTTGCCACAAGCAGAAAAGGACCTACTGTTCTCCATGGCGCTCCGCATCGTAGAACTGGACGTACTGGCGCAGAGCGAAAAGGCGCTGCAACGATTCATCTGGCAAATGAACGCGCAGTTCCAATGGGATGGCATCGTCGTGCTGCTGTCGGAGCTCTGCCAGCGCACCTCAGGCAAAGACGTCGACAAGGCCTGGTTCCAGGTAAACAAGTGCTTCGAGCACCACCCGGAGATTACGAGCAGCCATCAGACCAACCCCCTCCACCTCGGCGTGTGCAACCTCGCGCGCAAGGCCTGGAAGATCTGGACCGGCGACCTCAAGCGCCGCGCGTGCCCCCTGCCCGAGCGCGGCACGTTCCCGGCTCTCGAGGCCCTCGTCGCCGAGGATGCCGCCCCGCCTAGTCGTGACGGCGCGTCTCGCAAGTCGGGCAGCTCCCTGTATCAGCAGCTGAATTCGGCGGCGGATAGTTCGTCCAGCCCGCTTAATGAGCCGAGCCCGATGGATTGGGCTTTGTGGGATGAGCTGCTTCAGGGGTGGGGCTTGCAGGTCCCGTTGGAGAACGCGGGTTTCTTGGGATAATTGATTGGGCTGATTGTTGAAGATTTCATGTGGATGAATCAGTAAACGCACGTATGGATGCATGTATTTAGGGCTGTGTGTATGTGCGGTCACTCTTTTTCTTTTTATTCTTTGGCGCTTTGGGGTGGGAGGGGATTGTGTGATTGTGCGTTTCGTTTGATGTACATGTTTGGAGGGAGGAGGGAAGGAGGGAAAGAAACTGCCGTGTAATGGCTGGTTGGTTAGGATGGGGCTTCTGGCGGGACAAAAAAGCTGTTGATTGTTACGAGAAATATATACGGTGACGGTTCTGGGGGCGTACAGTCGCTCTTTAGGTATGCTCTAGGACGACGAGGAACGGATTCGAAGCGGTTTTTGATCGAGAGGGATATCTTGTTTTTCTTTTCTCCGTCTTCGCCGCTTCCACACGACGGCTCTTCTCTTCTCTTCTTAGCGTGCGCCTACCCCGACAGGGCAGGGGCTGTCATATCAACAATCTCGACCCGCCCACTGCACACGCACGCGACGGCGCATCAAGCGCACGCCCGCACAAACAGGCACTCAGCCCCACGTCCACGCCCCGCCGCCTACTTCATGAGCTTGCGCACGCTCGTCTCCATCCACAGCTTGGCGTACTCGCGGTGCAGGAACTCGAACCACCAGGGCAGCTGGCCGGCGACGGAGCCCTCGGGCGTCGAGTTGAAGAAGAAGCTCTTCATGTGGAACGTCGCGTGCGTCGCGTCCTTGGTCACCTCCATCGTGAAGATGCCGTCCGAGGGCCGGAAATCCGCGTTCGCGGGCGTGTCGCCGCATCGTACGGCTACCTGGTTAAGCGCAAGGGCGCGCCGCATTAGCCGCTGTGCTGGTGGTGCTGGTGGGGTGCCTGTTTGGGACGTGGTTTGTAGGACGGGACGGGATGGGACAGGGCAGGGCAACGCATGGAAGCGCAGTCTCGCGCGCAACGCACGCACGCACGCACTCGCTCACGCATTCTATTATTCACTCACCTTGCTCGGCGAGCGCTCGACGACCTCAAAGTGGTCGGCAACCTTAGTGCCGAGGGCATAATCGCTGTTCTCAAACTGGTCCTTCTCCCAGAGATCGGCGTCACGGCCGGGCAAATGGCGGCCCTCCTTCTCGAGCATGCGACGCTGGATGCGGAACCCCGGGCCGCTCCAGACGCCGGCGCAGAAGCGGCGCGTCAGCTCGTTCTGGTCAGTCGTCTGCAGCTGGGCCAGCGGGACGCGGCGCTCGCAGTGGTCGACGCACGCGGGCGGGTTCGCGGCCGGGTTGCGCGCCCGCCACAGCGCGCTTTGGAAATCGGGCGAGCTGAGGCCGTACGGCACGAAGCGCGAATCTTTGGTGTACAGCTTCCAGCTGGCGCCGACGAAGGCGGCGGATGCGGCGGTGAAGGTCGCGAGCGATTTGATGAGCGGCATTGTGGGTTGGTGAGGGGGTGGTAGTGGTAGTGGTGGGAGAGAGGAGGGATGAGTTGGATTGGAGAGGGGAGGAGAGAGAGAGAGAGAGAAGAGTGAATGGAGAGGTCGGTCCACTGCGCTGCGCTTGTGACGTGCGGTGGTGCGGCCGGTGGAGCCTGACTCGTGCGCTCGAGATGAGGTGGGAAGCCTAGAGTGGAGATGGGCTCACCCGCGGGGGCCCTGCTGTCGTGAGAGCGGAAAAGGCAAGTCTTCTCGGCCGGCTGCGAGTCACAATGGCTTTGTGTTGCTTGGGAAAGCGTGTTGTTGTTGTTGTTGATGTTGTCTCAACGCGTCCATTTGAAGAGAGGCGCGTCGGGATCCGAAAGCCGCCAATCCGTCGTCGTCGGCTTCTGAATTGTTTGCCGACTGTGACAGCTGTCGGAATTGTGATTCTCGTACATACATCTCTGGTGCTTGCTTCAAGGCGAAGACATGCGTTTGTCTCTCTATGTAGCGGAATGGGAGACGCGCAGCAAGCATCACAGAGAGAAAGCAGACCCCGCGCAGCTGATGTCATCGCACCTTAAGTCCGTTTGAGCCGGTGATAGCATCCTCTTAGCACCATTAGCTCCGCCTGCAATCTTTAAGAAGCAACCGGTACCACCATCCACCATGCATCGTCCAAAGCGAGAATCATGTCTCCTGCCTCTGTCTTCGCCGCCAACAACACGGCCCTCATCACGGGCGGTGCCTCGGGCATCGGCCTGGCCGTCGCCCAGCTCTGCCGCAAGCACGGCATGAAGGTCGCCGTGGCAGACTTCAACACCGACTCGCTCGCCAAGGCGAAGGAGACGCTTGGAAGCTCGGACGTCGAAACGTACCAGACCGATGTCTCGAAGCTCGAGCAATGGGCTGAGTTGAAAGATAAGGTGCAGAAGAAGTTTGGAGGTGTCGATTTCCTGATGCTCAATGCGGGCGTGGGAGCCAGGGGCGGCTGGGAGGACAGCGCCTATTTCGAGAAGATCATGTCGACGAACCTCTTTGGCGTCATCTATGGCCTCAACACCTTCGTCCCTGCCATCCAGGCGGAAAAGAAGCCTTCCGCCATTGTGATAACGGGCAGCAAGCAAGGCATCACCAACCCGCCCGGCAGCCCCGCCTACAACGCCAGCAAGTCAGCTGTGAAGACGCTAGCCGAGCACCTCAGCTACGACTTGCGCGCCAGCAGCACGAGCGTGCACTTGCTTGTCCCCGGCTGGACATTCACCGGCATGGTAAGTGAATTGCCCATTGTCTTCCGCATCGCATGCTAAGAACTCCGACAACAGAGCGGTGGTGGGCCCGGTTCAACCAAGGAGAAGCCCGCGGGCGCCTGGTCGTCTGAGCAGGTCGCCGACTACATGTACAACAAGATCGGCGCGGGCAAGTTTTACATCTTGTGCCCGGACAATGATGTCACGGAGGAGAAGGACAAGAAGCGCATGCTGTGGACTACTGGCGACATTGTCAATGAGCGGCCGCCGCTGACCCGGTGGCGTGAAGAGTACAAGGAGGAGGCGGAGGAGTGGATGGCGAAGCAGAAGGTTTGAGGAGTCAGCCAATCAAGTCCTGCTAATATATAAAGTGGACGGGGGTAAGTTATAATAAACAAGCTTCGTTGGTGATGCATAATGACTCCAGAAGATCGGCGCAGACTGTGACAGATATTCGGTAAGGATGGTTTCATGGATATGTACCTACGCGTCCATCTAGACGAGTGTTTAGTGTGACAGTCTGATCTCCTTGACTATAGCTTACTATGTTGGTTCTTTATAACATCAAAAGTAAACTATGAACTAGTTGGTCAGCAACTTTCGACGTTCACAGGTCATGACTGGTTGTAACTGTTTATGGTTATAACGGTAAAGGACTGCAAATGGTCGCGCAAGGCCTAGCCTGGTATACCAATAGATGTCTTTTTATGAGTCCAAACGTTGTAAACAGTCTCGACTGCAGGGGGACGGGAGGCTCAATAATGTTTCGGGCAAACGGCCTTACTCGGGCGATCCCGAAGCCCGTTCCACAAGGGCTTACCGCAGCTTATTCGTACAACCATCCCCGCCTATCGGCGATCCGTTTTCCTTAGCAAAAGACGGCACGGCACAAACACCTGACGCGCATGGGAGCGCAGTTTGAGACACGCCGCCTATCGATTGCCTGATTGGGGTTTCTGCAGAACACTCAGGCTCCCAGCCATCCCCGCAAGGCTAATCTTTCTTCAGAACTGATCTACTGTTTCTAGTGCTGCACCCTGAATCGTCTGCGATGCTTTCTGCATTTCGTTATGTCCAGCCGGGCCTGCCGGGAGGGCTCACGGCGGTATAAATTGCGCCGCTGCCCCAGATGTCGTTGAGTCGGGAGGTTTGAGACAAATTTCTTCAGCTGGCGGTGTGCTTTTGTATCTTCTCTCTCTCTAGCATCATCATCCCCTTTTTCTTCCACACTCCTTCTGCCGCAACAGAAACAAGACCATGAAGAGCAGCTTTCTTTCGCTGCTGGCGCTTGCCGGCTCCCTGGCGGGCAGCGCCGTGGCCGACGGGCCCAGAGCCCCCGCCATGAACAACAAGGCGAGATACGACCGCATGGTGCGCGAGCGCAGTGCGCGCGCTGCTGAGAGCCACATGCACGCCCGCTACGCCCGCGCCGCGTCCACCGACGCCTACCTTACGGAGAAGACGAAGAAGTTCGCCGTCGATGGCACCGCGCTCCCGAACGTCACCTTTGATATCGGCGAGTCCTACTCGGGCCTGTTGCCCGTTGACGACTCTAGCGACAGGGAGCTGTTCTTCTGGTTCGTGCCGTCGACGAACAAGGCGGCTGACGACGAGATTGTCATCTGGCTTAACGGTGGGCCGGGCTGCTCGTCTATGGATGGACGTGAGTGTGGCCGGACTGCGTTTTGGATGGGAGATTCACTGACGACGCCGCAGTCTTCCATGAGAACGGCCCCGTGACGTGGATGACTGGTACATTCTTGCCTGTCAAGAACATGTACTCTTGGACCAACTTGACCAACGTTGTTTGGATCGAGCAGCCCGTCGGCACTGGCTACAGCCAGGGCACCATGAACGCCACCAGCGAGAAGGACGTTTCGGACCAGTTCATGGGCTTCTGGCGCAATTTCATGGACACTTTCGACCTGAAAGGCCGCAAGGTGTACATTACTGGCGAAAGCTATGCTGGGTAAGATTTCAACTCTGAAGCATGCGTTCAAGAGACTGGGCTAACGGCAGACCAGCATGTACGTGCCCTATATTGCTGACGCCATGATCGCCCAAAACAACACGGACTATTTCGACGTCGAGGGTATCATGATCTACGACCCATCGATAGGCTACGACTCGATCACGGAGCAAGTGCCCACGCTCGCCTTCGTCGAGAACAACAAAGCCTTGTTCCCCTTCAACGAGACCTTCTGGGAGTACATCCGCAACATCTCGTCGTCGTGCGGGTACGACGACTTCCTGGCCGAAGGACTGACGTTCCCGCCCAAGGGCCCGCTGGCCTCGCCGCCCGGCACCTACGCCAACAACACCATCAAGCCCGAATGCGACATCTTCAACCAGGTCTTCGACGCGATTCTGAAAATCAACCCGTGCTTTGACATCTACCAAGTGGGGCAGCTATGCCCGCTGCTGTGGGACACGCTCGGCTTCCCCTACTCGGACATGTACCTCCCGGACGGCTACGACATCCCGTACTTCAACCGCGCAGACGTCAAGAAAGCGCTGCACGCGCCCCCGGACGCCGAATGGGCCATGTGCACCGAAGGCAACGTGTTCGTCGGCGGCGACAGCGACACGAGCCCCCCGTCGGGCCTGACCGGCGGCCCGCTCGCGCGCGTCGCCGAAGCCACCAACAACGTCATCGTCGGCCACGGCACCCTCGACATGGTGCTCATCCTCAACGGCACGCTGCTGACGCTGCAGAACCTGACGTGGGGCGGGGCGCAGGGGTTCAGCACGCCGCCGTCCGAGCCCTTCTACGTCCCTTACCACGCCGAGGCGTCCATGGCCTCCATGGCTGGCGCCGGCGTCTTCGGCTCTTGGGTCTCTGAGCGCGGCATCACGTTCGTCTCGGTCGATTTGGCCGGCCATATGATCCCCCAGTACCAGCCTGGCGCTGCGTATCGCCATCTCGAGGTCTTGCTCGGCAGGGTCGCAAATATGAGCGAGGTCAGCGCGTTTACGACCCAGAGGGGCTACCCGCAGCCGGGGGATGCGTTGGGGAAGGGCATTTCGCCCGTGCAGGTTGCGTTGGGGGAGTAAGTGTGATTGAATGGGAGATGGGTCGATAGGGCGGTGGTTATGTATTATGTGTGAGAGAATAGTGTAAGAGATGTTACGACAGGAGATAATGTTAATTCATGTCCATATGCGCCATATAAAATAGTCAAGAACATGGCTGAACGGCTTTCACCCCTGGAACAAATGGTTAAGCGACTGATCAAACCAGCGGAATCAATTATAAATCATGTGGGAGGGTGGTCCAGAACCTATGCAGCAAGATGGGCCTAACCTTCACTCAGGTTAGCACCGAGACCTTAGAATTACCTATTAACTAACACAGACAGACCCCAACAATAGCACTCATCATCACCGCACAAAACAGCCACTCACCACCCCCCTCCACCGCCACCACTCACCATCAGCACCACCACACACCGCTGCCCATCATACAGCAAGCCGGCCCTGTCTACAGAGAGGCAGTGCCCATTCCCAAACCTAACTCCTACCCAACACCAAACCACCCGCCAGTAAGCTTCTCATCATCAAGATCATCAAGTTTCTCAGTTCCATTCAGCCAGTCAAGCCAGAACAGAACCTAGATAGGCAGTGGGCTCACAGCTTAGTATTTAAACACCGATGTATGTAAATGCAATGCAGCTGGCTCAATGCAGAAAAAAGGTCGTAAAACATGGAAGCTTCCATTTTCGGTGTTTGCTTGCTTCTATCTCATATAGTGCTGTGCGTCACGTCGTATGGCCTCCTCGCAGAGAAAGCGCATTTGCTTGGCACTGCGGCGACAGCTCTCGCCCTTCGACAACGGCGATGGCAGCAGTGTTGAAACCCCCTACATGGCTGTGGCGCCTACCTAGCACCCCAGGTCCCCATTCGCCTCGCCACAAGCCGAGCTGCTGAACAAGCATGCACGCATGCACGCACGCACGCATCGGCAGCTGCGCCAGCGCCCGCTCGCCCTCCACCTACGAGGCACCTAGGTAGTACCTTAGCACATCTAAAGCAGGGACTTGATAGTTTGGCCGCCCTCCCAGGTGTCGCCGGCCTCGAGCGTGGCCCAGCCCTTGACGCTGCCGGCCTCGACGCACAGCATGTGCTTGTAGCCGTCGTCGGGGGCGAAGTCGCCCATGGCGGCCGCCTTCTCCTTCCACGGGTTCCACACAACCGTGTCCGGCAGGTTGTCGCGCACCACGTCGAAGCGCGGCTTGTCGCCCGCCAACACCGTCGTCGTCGATTGCGGAATTGCCGCGTACACGCGGTCCGTCTCGCCCGTGATGGTCAGGTTCGCGTCGCCTTGCGTGTGCATGCTGGCGTTGAGCACTTTGTCCGTGTAGGACACGCCGAGCAGGCCCGTCACGCTGGCGCGGGTGATGTCCTGTGGTGGGGGATGTCGTTAGCTTGGGTGGACCCAGTTTTGATGATGGGGAGGAAGCGGAATGTGGGTGATCGTGTTTATGTAAGAGACGTACCTCAACGCGCAGGTAGCTGTGCAGCAGGACCTGGAACTCAAACGCCTCCTGGCCCTCGTTGCGGACGTTCATGACCGTCTGCAGCCCATCACGGCCCAGCGTGACGCTGTACACGAGACCGAAGTCAGACGGCCACGCCTTGCGCGCCTCGGGCGCCAGGCTCGCAGAGTACAGGCCAAAGTCGAGCTTCACGCAGTCGTCCGACGCCGTCTTGCTGCTGCCCGACTCGGAGGTCGATTTGCCCAGGAATTCCCAGCGCGAGTTCCGCGCGAAGCCGTGCTGCGGCAACGCCGAGGTGGCGTGGTCGGCGGGCGGGGGGCCGAAGACCTGGATATCACGAAAACTCTGTCAGCTCGAGTTCCATCATCTTGTCTTTCTCCCTCTATTTCTCTTCTCCTACTCCAATTCCCCTTCCCCCCCTCCTCTCTCAGCCAGGTGTCTGCTCCACCCATGGGCACGGGCGGCGGGGCGCGACCTACCGGAAAGACAACCGGAATACCGCCCCGCACGGGCTTGCTGCCGTCGAGTGCCGCCTTCTCGCTCAGCCAGAGGTTCTCGCTGCCGTCTGCGTTCTTCCAGCTGATGACTGTCGCGCCGTACAGCAGGACCTCGACGCTCTCGCCCGTGGGCAGGCGAGCCGTCACGCGGCTGTTGTCTGAGGAGATGTCGACGACGGGCTGGGGCGCGTCCGAGGCGGCCTTTGCCGTGTTGGGGAGGGGCTGCGGCTTGTGCGGGCGGTCAACCATGGTGTCGGCAGGAGGATGATGTCGTGTCGGGGAGTCGGAGATGGTGTGCGGGGCAGTGGAAATGTCAGGGATCCTTGGTTAGGAAGCGTTGCGTGAACGTTAGTTGTGGTGGGTGTGGGTGGTGGTGGGAGGAGTGATGTGTTGGGTGGGCAGAGAGAGCAATGGATGACATCTGAAGGAGGGGCAACATCTTATCGTGTCCCGCCCGCGACGTGCCTCAGCTGCCACCGGATGAAACGCGCGTTTCAGCTTCATGCACCACCGAGCCACCGACAATCGACATCCTTCTCCTCGGCCCCGCCCATGATGTCATTCGGCTATCCATGCCAGCTAACTCCAACCCGTGTCTATCAAACCATTCCGTTCCATCTGCACTTATGCATGTCCTGTACCCGTGACTTACTCCTCGCGCCCGCGCCGGCCCGCTTCATGTATCTCCCTCCTTACTTCAAACAGCGCCTCATCAAACTCCCTCTCCTCCTCCCGCCTCAACACAAGCTGTTTGCAGTCGGCCAGGATCTGCTTCAATTTGGAAAGGATGCTCCTGGGCTGTAACCTGGGCCAATCCTGAACATCTTGCTCAACACCCTGAGTCTGAGCCTCGCCCTCCGCCTCCGCCTCCGCCCTACTGCCCTTGTCCTCTTCTTCATTTTCTGCTTTGACCTCTCCGTCCTGATAAGCATCCACCGCCGTCAACCCTTCTCCATCGTGTCCCCTCTCCATGGACGGTCGATGCGACGAAATCGGGGAGCCGCTGCTCGAGAGCACCTCAACGTGACTAAAGACGCGAACGCCCGAAGCTTGTGAAGCCTGTGAAGCATCGGCAGAGTTTTGTGAACTGGACGCCTTGGGCTTTCTTCCCCTGCGCTTCTTTGGTGCTGGCGTCTCAGCGATCACCGTGTCCTCATGCATGCTGTTGTCCGCCTCGGTTGATTGTGAGGACCTTGTCTTCCGCTTTCTTGGCTGCAAGCCTTGATTAAGCTCTGGTACTGTCCCAGATATTCTCCTAGATGACCTCTGCGAAGACGATCCGGAAGTGGGCTCTTTGGCCGGAGCTCGCTTTTTTGGTGGAACAGGAGTCTCCATTTCGGGTTGTTCCTGGGAAGTGCTTGGTCTGGTGTAACGGAAAGCAGTCCTTGGTTTTTCCTGCGATGTTGTGGCGACAACAATACAGCTAAGGATGCTGTCGTCGCTGTGCGTGCTGCTGTCTGATTCCTCGTGGGGATCTGGCTGCCTCTTGGTCCGCTTCGAAGCCTTGCTACTTGATACTGGCGTTGTATTCTTACGCTTCAGCGATTTCGGCATTGCGGGGCTTTTAGGCTGAGGAACCAAGCTAGGCTTTTGTGAAGCAGACTGGCTAGCCGAGCCCTTTTCAACAAGCGAAGAAGATTCACCATCCTTCTGCGTAGGCACAATAAAACCCTCCACGTTTGTAGTAGAAAGTGATGGAGTGGCTTCTTTTTCGAAGATTTGAGATTCGCCCAAGGAATGATCCACAGTCATGTTTGCTTGAGATGATTCTAGCCTCGTTTCTGAGATATCATCCTCTTCGATGACAATCTTCGCAGGTGCTGTCTCTTGTGGTGTGGGAGCTGTTCCTTGTGGAAGATTCTCTGCGACATCCATGAAAGAACTTATCTCTTCGTCTACTCTCGGCGAAGCTTGTTGTTCCGCTGGATCTGCACCATGTTGAATTTCTCCTGTCTGTTCTTCTGCAATAGTAGTGTCGTCAGGCAGCTGATCTGGTTGATTTGCAATGTTCCGACCGGCGCTCGCTTGAAATTCATTGGCAAGTTGATTTGCCGCGTCGACATCTTCTGAAGCGATAGATGGAATTGACGAAAAATCAGATATCGGTAAGGAGTCATTGTCAGCATCGTCGAGGTGGCTTTCGGAGAGATGAGAGGCGTTGTTGACAAGCTGTTCTACGAGTAGCTCGTCCAACATCTCCTCGGGCTTGTCGGATTTCTCAGGATTGCCAGACTTTTCTCCAACGAAACTATCCTCAATGACCGTTGAATCCACCGCACCGGATTGAACCTCATCATCAAAGCGCGGAGGAGACGACGGGATATCTGGTTCCACTGCTGCCTTTGCTATGGTTGGTTGGGCAGCCGTCGGAGCGAATGCAGCAATGTTGCCTGAGCTTTGGCTTGAGCGACGGGACTTGGGTGTCGGCGATGAGTTTGGAACCTCGTTTGGAGCGGCTAGGTCCTGTTCTCTAACGAGCGGCGTTGCAGAGCGAGATTCAGCATCACTGAGTGACGGGGTATCGCCAGGTTTGTGATACATGGGCAGATCCAAATGTTGATCTTTGGGTTGCCTAATAGGGCTCGAACTAATATCGGGAAACATAGCAGCCACCCCCTCTTTTTGCCTATCCCTGACTTCTTTTTGACGCTCTGTGAGCATTTGAGAGTCTGGTGCCTCAGGTGCGGGAGAAGATTCAATAGGAACAAATTGTATTTGAGAATCATCGTGACGCAGCCGTGCCCTGGGCGTAGGCTTATCGGAGTTCCCCACGCGAGTGCTTGGGGCTAGGGCAGAAGGCCCAAGAGGCGGAGGAGGAGACGAAGAGGGTGGGGGTCGTTGAGCACCCGGCGGTGGGCGATGGCTTAATGGTGGAAGATACCTGCTGGTTGAAGATGGAATGTCATCTTGGGACTCCGTAAACGTAAATGCGGGTAATGTTTCCGTATCCTTAATTCAATCAGCTTTTTGGTATACGGGACAGACGTATTCACTTACATCGCCATCTGCAGCATCAGGAAAGCTGGGGAGCTGCAGGTCCACAATTGACCGAAGCCTGCGGAGTGCCTTCTCAACCTTGGATGGATATTGCAGATTTGACTCTTTGCCAAATGTAGCGTTCCACATCTCAATTGCCCTGTTCAGGATGCTTTTACGTCTGCTAGACAAACCAGAAGCAACAAGGACTTCCAAGTGGCGGAGAACATTGCTATCCTTACGAGGCAATCCTTCAATAGCAGTCGCGACAATATTCCACAAATTTACAACCTGGTGCATCTTAGCAATTGCCACTGATCTAATTGTTTGAAATTTGACTTACTGCTTGTCGTGCACCCTGCAAAGCATCCGATGCCTCGCCCAATTTTTGCTCGTCATCCGCCACCCACAAAGCAATACCGACTTGTGTTTTGCGTAACATTATTGATGCAAACGACATGGGCCAATGTTGTAGCAAAGCGCAAAAAGTCGACAACAATGCGACGGTTGAACCGATGCACCGGGTCTCGGGTACGAGAACCTCGTAGGTATTTCGAAGTTGCAACACAATCATTTCGTACAAATGATTGTATGGGTCGAAATCAGTGGGTTTCTGGGGACCTGAACTGACACCCCACAGGGTCTTACGTGCTTGCTCAATTACTTTTCGGTGTCGAGGGTGATCGAACCCAGTCAGTGCCAATGCCGAAAGGTGGACTGATGCAAGTTGAGAATGCCGTGCAACTGGTGAACGCAGCACTTCAGCTAATGGCTCCGTCACCGCGAGAGCAACAGCGCCGTCACCGCCCTCTTCGCGGACTGTCGAGACCAAGGATTCGTATAGAACGCGAATGATAGTTAAAGAATGGTCGTCATCATAACGCAGCCCATCCGTCAAGACCTTGGTGACGTAACGGTATTCTTCCCCGGACTGCTGAGATGCGTCGACATCGGCAGACGGTTGCATGGTAGAGGCCACTATATCTGCGGCTAGGCACCACATTCCTGATTGTAGTTCAGGACGCGATTCCTCAGTCATGCTTTGGACGCAGTCTTTAAGAAGTTCAAGTTTGAGTTTCCTCGAGGGCTTAGCATTGCAACAAAGCTGTATGATCTGCCGCGCAAGAATCCCCAGCTTCAAGTCGTCCAGGTCGGTGGAAGTGGAGCCCAGCCCCAGCAAAAAGAGCAGTGGTGACTGAAGTGCCCCGCGAACCTTTGAGCGATGGGAAGGAGTAAGGATGGCTTCAAAATCCGAACCAGCGTTCCGCGAAAGTATGGCATCAGAAAAAGGAGCCGGTCCTAACGTTTCAAAAGTCGTCGTTACCAGAAAGCCGAACTTGTCGATCCAGCTCCCTTGGTCGCCTCCATCTCCGCCCAAAGACAGCGGGCGGTTGGTCCATATGCGATGCAACATGTTCATGATATGAGCGATGGCCTCCTTGAGTTCCACTGAAATAGTGACCTCTTTGCTGCCTGCTTCTGCTACCGCCAGCATAAGCGCAGTCCACATGACATGGGTGGACACACCAGAAGAAACCCAGTCGGTAGGGCTGGGGCTGGGGCTGACCGGCTCTTTCCGATCCCAGGATCCGTTAGCAAGGCAAATCTCCACCACTTGTAGAACTGATTTGAGCCTCTGTCGTGTCCACCGAGGATCTATGCTGGGAAGGTCATTGGTACCGATAGTGAACGATTCGATCGCAAGATTTTCGTTCCAGATGCGCGACTTGTTCCCCTTAAACAGAGCCGCGAGGACCCGACAAGCAGTAGTCGCACCTTTCTGGTCGATTTGAGCAATCTTGCTAAGCGGAACAGTGACAAACTCTTTCCAGTACAGGTCCAGATGCTCGGGTGATGCTGATGGTGGGAGAGAATAGTAAAGGAGGTTGCAATAGCTTGAAAAAGCGGACAGTCTCATCCGTCGTGCATCCTTGTCAGTTCCGCGTCGTTCAATCTGGCTAAGGATAGCTTGCCGAAGCAGGTTCCTGACCGGCTGTGTAGTCGATTCGTCAGGCTTCATGGCATAAACGAAGCGATTCCAGGCAATATTTGCTTGAGCCGCAACTTCCTTGTTACCGGAATTTACGCATTTTTGAAAGACCTCTAGCCATTTTTTCAACAGCCTCCATTGATCGATCTTCTTGCGCCGACTCCTCATCAGAAGCATAACGGCTGACCAGATGTTCGGCACATGCGGAGCGGCATCATCATCTACACACATCTTGCTCAACCGACCTGCGAAATACTCGCCATAAGTACCTCCCTTTTCGACTTCTTTGCCCATGATGTCCACCGTGGCTCTTGATACCTGAGGCACGTCGCCTATAGTAACCCCTGCCACAGTTCCTACCTCAATCGACCGAAGTCGGGTCTCTTTAACGCTGCTCAGCATAGGATGGAAGAGGTGTTGTAGCCAATCCGATATCCTGGCTACCATCACGGGCCGTGCTTGATCCAGAAGTTTCTGATACACGAGGAGCCTGTGAATGATCACGTGTGACCCGGAGATGCGATCCTCTATATCTTGCAGTGCTGTAATAGCTCGGTTTGCCCGGTCCGCAGTCATAGCCCGCGGCCCAAACCGTTGCTGAGAGAAAGCAAAGATGAGAGGATTCACCCATATTTTCGGAGCAGTATGGTCGCTAAATTGTTCGATTGAGCGGTCGAGGAAAAAGGTCTGGAAATCTTCCGGGATCTTATCAGCGACTGCAGGAAGGCGCATTAGTGCTATTAGCAACTTCAGCGCTTGCACCGCCAATTGGCAATCCTGCCGCTCGGTGTTCTCGTTGACAATCGCAATATCCCGGCGAATGAATTGCGTCAAGAGGCCAATCTTATTTATGAGCGCGTTCATATCCGGTTTGTCCTCATAGGCCTTCAGTGTGCTCAGGAGCGTGACGTATGAATCGAGCTTGTGAGGCCGCGATCCTCCAGCCAGTTGCTTGACCATTGCCTCGAGCATTTCGGCGAAATTTCCATACTTATGCGGGGACTGCGAAGCCGAATCGGAGTCGTATGTAAGCGGAGGCTCGTGGGGCTTGAGAATGGATTTGAGGGTCTTGGGGTCCCTCGGTTGCGGCAGTGGGCGTAAAGGTGAGGCGGCGGCGGCAGCGGCGTTGTGAGACTTGCGGCGGGCGAAGTAGTCGTCGGCCTTATGGTAGTCGGTCCATGGCGAAAAATCTACCTTTTTGGAGCGGCCTTTTGAGCGGCTGGCAGTCTGGTCGACGGAGGAGCAAGGAGAGCGGCGCGGAGGGGTGTTGACGACCGGGGCGGCGTCTAGTCGTAGAGGCGTGGGCACGCTGGCCTGCTCGGTCTCAAAGCTGTCGGACAAGAAGTCCAGGGCGTCTGCAACGGCGCGGTCGGTGTCGCGTGGAGGGGTGGGGGGACGCGGAGGGATGTTTTCGAACAGGCCTGGAGACGAGACCATGACTACCGGCAGCAGGTCATGGAGGAGGGGAGGAGGAGGTCGGTGGTTGGTTGTCCAAGAACAAGACCAGACACAGACACGGGACGCGCCTGACGCGAAGAGGCGCGCCTGCCCAGCGGTGGCGCTCGGGCCGCGGCTTAATGGAATCTGGGGTCGCGTCGAAAGTCGACTGGCGGCGCGCAAGGATGTCCAGCGTCTTCGCTTGCAGGCACATAAATCATGGTTGCTTTGCTCTCTACCACGTCCGCTCTATGCTCGGACGCTCTCGTACAATAGAGGCCCAAGGTCCAAGGTCCCCATGGTGGCCACCACGCGCGTGCAGACCGTCCGGCTGACTCGACTCATCCGGGCGTGCATCGCAGCACGACGCTGCGACGGCGCGCCCTGCAAGAGGGCAGAGGCAATGCTCCATGAGCACATGTGCAAGGCATGCATGATCCGCGTGCTGACTTCCTCCCTCATGCTCGACTCGACTCGACCCCTAAAAAGCCCACCTGCCGCTCAGTTCCTGCTCAAGCTCAATGCGGGGACCCACCATCATCTCGACGCTTGAGAGTCAGCCCCGTATGTCCGCTTCGAGGTAAAAGGACACCACCTCCACAACACCCACCACGCCTGCGACAATGGCCACTCCCACCAACGGCGCATACGCTGCCTCGATCTCGGGCTCCAGTACGATTCACCCCCAAGCCCTCCCAACCAGTCCCGCCTCTGACGTCGCCGCAGAAAAGCTCGAGGAGGTCTCCTCCCTGATGGAACAGCTGCGGCTGGATCTCAAGGACTCCCATATGCTCCTACATCGTGCGTCTCCCCACCACGACCGCGCCGCCCTCAGCTGACGCCGCCGCCCCTAGAACGCAACACTGCATTGGAGCAGATCAAAATCTATGGTCGCAACGTCCAGGACGCCGACCCCATCTATACTCCGGATGTACGCCGCACCAGCACCGCGCAACCCCCGATCGAACCCCAAAACGCTGAAACACATGGAATTAGGGCATAGACACGTTGGCTCGCTATGGCTTCTTCAATTCCACGGCCGTCACGTCCCGGGAAGCGCTGCGCTGCCTGGCTAACGCATTGCTCCTGCAACCACACACCCGGCAGGAACTGGTAGACCTGGGATTTGCGGACAAGGCGGCCGAAAAGCTCAAGGTCAGTTGAACGCCAGACCAATGGGTTGCAGAAGGGACTGAGACTAGGCAGAGCGACAGCCCCGACGACGAATTTCTGGCGTCACGGATCCTCTTCCTCTTGACTTACGAGACGAACCTGGACTTTGAGTTGTTGATGAAGAACAACCAGCTCGGCGAGACCATCTTGCAAGTAGGTTGTTTGGCGCAACCACCGAGGCGAGACACTGACAATCGGACAGAGCGTGGCGCGGCACTCCAAGCGGTACTCGAAGGGCAGCCGGAAACCGTCCGCAGGCACGCCACTCGAAGACTTGGCGCTTTCGGAGACACTGAAGCTGGTTTTTAACCTCACACATTTCTATCCTGATTTCGTCGACCAATTCTCGAAATGCGTTCCGGACCTCTTGAAGATCTTGTACAGGACCAAGGTACCTATGCCGCCACTTCAGCCGCCGGTCAACTACCTCATAAACGCTCTCTTGAACTTGGACCTTGAGGACAACAAATCGAAACATTTCGGAAGCAGTCCCGTCTTCCCCAAGTTCGACCAGAAGGCCAACGCGGAGCATCTTATTGAGATTCTGGACAAATCCATCATCGCATACACCGAGACCGAGCTTGACCAGGTTGCCGCGCCTCTCATAACTCTTATCCGCCGCATCTACGAATTCGCGCCCGAGAGTGTTAAGAAGTACATGCAGTGGCTGCTGCTGCCGACGGAGGACGAGAGAAGCAAGCCGCTCGGAAAGTCGGACACGCTTTCGTCTCGCCTGTTGAACCTTACCACTTCGGCCATGGCGCCGACTCTAAGAGGCTCAATTGGATCCATGCTGTTTGAGTTGTCCAGCAAAGATCCTTCCGACTTCATTCACAATGTTGGATACGGTTTTGCATCTGGATTCCTGGTGAGCCATAACATCGAGATTCCGGCCAACGCCATGGACGCATACAGCACGCACGGCATGGAGGAGGGACAGAACAACTCAGCGGCATTCAACCCCATCACGGGACAAAGATACGACACGGAAAAGCCTGTGGACGAAGGCCCGCCAATGACACTAGAGGAGAAGGAAAGGGAAGCGGAGCGGCTCTTCGTGCTCTTCGAAAGGTACCTCCATACGCTCTCGGCCCTTAAGGTCAAGACACTAACACCACCCCAGGCTCAAAGCAACAGGCGTGGTCAACGTGCAAAACCCCGTCGAGCAGGCTCTAAACTCGGGTCGCTTCGAAGAGCTCTCCGACTCTGACTCTGAGACGGGGAAGAAATGAGCAAGCGAAGCAGACACATACACACATACAAGTCGCACGTAGTAGCATTCCCGCGCTAGTCCCTTCCTCCCCAGGTTGCTTAATTTATTATCATCGGCATACGGCACAGCGGCGGTCGGTTCCACGGGTCTATCTCTCTCTGGTTGCATCGGTCGGAGTTCCAGTTCGTTTTACCAAATCCCTCGCAAATTCAAATGCAAATCCAAACTTCCAATCTCTCTTTTAACTCAAACGCACCGCCCACTCTGTGGTGGTGGACGGATCGCGACAAACAATAAAGCCCTATTCTCTCTGCATCCACCCATTCATCCATCTATCCATCCACCTCATCCCATCCGTCGATCGCGAGATACTACTTATACCAAGCGCGCGCGAATCTGAGCTCTTTTTTGGTTCTCTACCGGTTATTGCGGTTCTCTTTGGCTCTCTCCGCGTGGCAACGCCGATGCAGGTAGGCTCTTAGGTATAGCTCTGGGATTTTTTTTTTCTTCGCGCGTAGGTTAGGCTCCGTTCTGTATCACTAGATCCGTCGTCTATCGTCTTTGAGGGCAATACCATCGCACGTGCTTGATATATATATATATCTGATTGTGCGCATGCTTGGGGCGTTTATGTGTGTGTGTGTGTGTGGTTTAATGGACTGGAAGACTTGTGAACGGCCTGAGACGAGGAGGTGGCAGTATTGATTACATAGATTGCACGTTTTGCCCGCTCATTTACTGCTTGTGAAGCTGGGTTTACGGTAGCTGTTAAGTGGACCTTTAGTACATGTGGATAGCACTACCTACCTTCAAACACGGCTGGTGCTAGATACCTGTGCTTAACTTTTAGCTAACCTGGAGGTACTGTACGTAGGCGTATATACACGAACGAACATGAAAGCTACAAAAAGGGACAAAAGCACTCATAAAGACATAATAATGCGGATGTACAAGAGCACGATAGCCTTCGGCATGAGAACACGCTCGTACCTGGTTGCGTAAAAGACGGAGATAGGATGTAGCTCTGCTAGTGTATTGTACTGTCACGTAGGATAGACAAATCCTCTGTCAAACTATAAAGCGGCTCGAAGGAATCTATAGCGTGAGAAGGGGCGAGGTTTATAGGAAAATGTGTACAGAGCAGTGGCAGCATATGCAGTGGGAATAGAAGGGGTACTGATCTTCCCGCCCGCTTCAGCTTTCTCTTGAGGTTAGTCCTACCTATCGCTGCGCCTGACGTTAAAGCTGGGTGTCTACTCGTAATCAAACAGAAGTAATCGCAAACCAAACCATCCACTCTGCTAGCTGCCCAACAAGACCATCCTCCACAGCCTCACACGGAACAAAAAAGCCCAGAAGAAAAAAACTGACATATCCCAGCGGCTCGGCCGGATCCATACGTGTTCATTCGTTTCACTATCCAGAATCAAAGCTTCAGAAAAAAGCCACAACCCCGACCCCCATCCATCCTTTAATAAACATCAGTTGTCCCTCTCCCCGAGGTTTCCGTCATGCCGACACAAAGGAAGCCCTCGCAATTCTCTCGTTAAAATAAATTAAAAACGCCGTTTTGTGTGTGTCTGTGTTTCCCCTTGCTGCTGAAGTTCGGAATGCTCTGCCACCAATGCTTTACGGGGGAATATTGGGTAGAAACAAAGGAGATGAAAAGGGCGTGGCTAGCGCCGGCCAATACTCCAGCCTTTCGGGTTTGTTGCTGCTCGAGTTTTTGGGTGAAGGTTCAAAGAAGAAAAATGAAGCAGGCCCGGGCGGCTGGATGAAATGCTCTGAATGTGCACGCCGCGCGCGGGTTGGAAAAAAGCCCCTATTGCATGCTGATCGGCTAGTGGTAGCCGTTCTTCGAGGTGGGGGAAAAGGTGCCGTTGGTGCCCTCGGTGAAGTAGGGGTGTTGGACGGCTTGCTTGGCCGAAATGCGGCCAGCGGGGTCATAGACGAGGAAGGCGTCGAGGAGGTCGAGACCGTTGTCGTCGAGGCCCGGGACGATGGTCGCGATGTCGGTGCGGTGCCACTTGGGGAAAGAGGGCTTAAAGTCCGGGAAGGAGGTGACGCCGGGCCACTCTGCCTCCGTGGGAGTGCCGAGAACACTGCCGCAGAACATGTTAGCATACAGCTTGTCTAGTGATAATTGAGACTGCAGGAAAGCTTACCGGAAGATCTTGAAGATCTCGTCAATCTCAGAGTCACCAGGGAAGAGGGGCTTGCGGGTGCACATCTCGGCGAAGATGCAGCCAACCGACCACATGTCGACGCCAGTGGAGTACTGACGGCCACCGAGCAGAATCTCCGGAGCGCGATACCACAGAGTGACGACCTATCACATGTTAATGATGACATTTGTGGCCCTCTTTCCACAGCGGAGCTTACCTCGTGCGTGTAGGTGCGCAGCGGGACACCGAAAGCGCGAGCCAGACCGAAATCCGCCAACTTCAGGTTGCCTTCCTGGTTGATGAGCAGGTTCTGCGGCTTCAGGTCACGGTGAAGGACACGGTGAGCATGGCAGTAACGAATGCCTTGGACCAGCTGGTACATGAACTTCTTGACCATTTCCTGACCCAGACCCAAGTGTTGGAGCGATCCGTCCGGCAGCGGCTTGCCACGACCACCCTGGCTGACAGGCAGAGCCTCCATGTACTTCTTCAGATCCAAGTCAAGGTACTCGAAGACCAGGTAGAGCTTGTGACCGTCGGCGTGGACAATGTTGAGGAGGCGGACAATGTTCGGGTCGTTCATCTCCTTGAGGAGAGAAATCTCGCGGATGGCGGTACTGGGAACACCCTCGTCCTCGGCCTCGAGACGGATCTTCTTGAGGGCGACGATGCGCTGGTCCTTGGTGGTAAGGTCGCGGGCCTTGTACACAACACCGTAGGTACCTGGGGTGGGAGACTTGTCAGCGACATGCAGGCGGCAATGCCGGTGCGATAGGAGGCATACCCTCTCCGATCTTCTCCATCTTTTGGTAGTTCTCCATGGCTACGGCTTAGGCTGGGCCTGGTGTGTAACGAGCTACAGCGGGCGAAGGATGAAGCTCAAGGCAGGTCGTCGGAGGGGTATTGGCGGGGCCACGGAGTACAGCGACGAAGGACTGCTGGTTGAATTGGCTGAGCGCTAGGGTGTGCCTGCCGCGAGGTCGTCACTTTTGCTGTGGGTTAGTACCGGATCCGGGGCTGAGGTGGTGGGAGAAGCGATGGAGCCAAAGGCAGCGGCTTTAAGAGAGTGTTCCGAGTGTTTACCTTATGTTGTATCAGTCGCTAGAACTGCGGGCTTTCGAAAAAGCTTAGCGGGGGGCAACGACCGCCGCAACGGACCCTCACCACCGTCTTACCGACGACCACCATGGCGCCTTCTCTGGACGCCCACCAGCGCCCGCCAGACCATATCCGCGCCGCTTACAAGAAGTTTCAGAAGACGCGCCCTCCGGCCCTGGATGCCGATCCCGCCCTCGTAGACCTCGTCTCAAGGGATCCCGGCGCATATCAGCTGCGGCTTGTTCGAAGCATCGCCCGGGAGGAGCTGCTGTCGGCATTCCGATCTTTTGAGTCTGAGACCACTTGTAGCAATGTAGAACAATGGCTTCCTGACACCCTCATGCCTGTATACGAACATCCGAGCATGCCAGGTATCGAACGATCCCTTCGCATTTACCCATAGCATTGTTTTCCTAATCGAGTTAGGCCTGCATATCATACCCTCTCTCTTCCCTCCAGAAGTGCAAAAGATACTGCTCCACCGCCTTATACATCGCGATTTATCAAACCCGTCTCACAAAACAAATGTCCACATGTACTATGACATTCCATATCCGCCCGAGTCGTCCTCTTTCTTCCAGATTCCTCCTTCTTCAGAACCGCGCTTTTTGCCCAAGGACCCCAGCATTCACAAGCCCCTTTCAATCAACCAGTTTCTCTCCAAGAAGCTCCGATGGGTCACGTTAGGCGGCCAGTATGACTGGACTAACAAAGTCTATCCTGCGGAGCAACCCCCACCCTTCCCTTCGGACGTTGGATCACTTCTAGAGGGGCTTTTCCCCGACATGAAGCCACAGGCCGCCATCGTCAATTTCTACTCTCCCGGTGATACGCTAAGTATGCATCGAGATGTCAGTGAGGAGTGCGATCGCGGTCTGGTGAGCGTTAGCATTGGCTGCGATGGCATTTTTGTCATCGGGCTCAACGAGGAAGACAGCGTAGTAGATGAAGCGTCTGCGGAAACACAGAAGCTTCCAGGCGCTCTCGCCCTTCGGCTCAGGTCTGGAGACGCTGTGTACATGTCTGGGCCTTCGCGCTTTGCATGGCATGGAGTGCCTCAGATTGTCTCGGATACATGTCCGTCCTGGCTCCAAGATTGGCCAGCGTCACCGGATGACCGGCATACAGACTCTGAGAAAGAGCAGCTAGACCTATGGCGCGGATGGATGCGTACGAAACGAATCAATCTGAACGTCAGGCAGATGTGGGACTGACGAGTATTCTTTCACTATCGTATAACGTCCGTCACCGCGAACCAAGATCCACTGTCTAGTGAGTCAGGGAACGATGCAAGCAGCCCCTACAGAGTACTCCATGCCTAGCTCACAGCCCGAGTCCTGGGTATGGGTGTAACAGTCTTAGAGCACACACAGGCTCTACACATCGTAACTAAATTTCTTCTTCTACTCCGTACAAGTATTACCATCTCGCTTCACGGTGACGGACGTTAAAGATATTCGGCGGAAATTGCGGCGTTCCTAATATTAAGGAGTCAATGGTACTGTCTCGACGTGTGACTCGGCATGAGTAACAGCTGCTCAGCGCTAGATTCCGCGCTCAGGCTTCCTCATCGCCGTAGCACTCGGAGTAAGATGGGGTCCCGGAGAGAAAACAGTCATAACAGAAGGATAAATATTTTCACGAATTACATACCCCCAGGGATAAGCATTTAGCTACGAGTGCAAGCTCTAAGTTCATGTAAGAAGCGATCCATATGGAGCGTTCTAGTAAAGTTACGGGAATATTTAGACATAGACGTGGTAACTTTAACATATCAAATCAAAGCGGCTCGACATACTTTTGCTTCTACGGTGTACCACTTACTGTGAGGATGTGAGTAACCTGTAAGTGGAGTACAATTTCGAAGATGAGTCACGACATGGGGAAGTACCAGTCTAGAACCGCATCCAACTCCACTCGAGCACAATGATGCAATGGAAGACGGAAGAGCGAAGAGCCGACGAGACGATTAGAAACGAGCTTCCTCTCGTGTGAGAACGACGTCACGCAGTTGTGCCTTCCCAAAGTGGGTCGCCAAGGTGCGGGGCTCGGCATATCAAGATTCCTAGGCAACGGCTTGTTTGTACGACACGGCAACTGCGTTGCTTGCTAATCAAGTCTGGCACTGATATATACCATAGGCGGTTAACTAGCTACTGAGAAGTACACGGAACAGAACAACAGCGCCAGACAAAACACGCTTCAACAACCTCCACTTCACCAAAAACATCATCATGGCCGCCTACGAGACCCTCCCCAAGACAGCCAAGAGCAAGCCCACCAAGTTCGAGGTGTCGATTCCAGAGGAGAAGCTTCAACAGCTAAAACAGCTCGTCAAGCTCTCCCCCATTGCCCCCGAAACCTACGAGAACCTGCACGAGGACCGCAGCTTCGGGATCTCGCGGAGCTGGCTGCAAGCCGCGAAGCAAGAATGGGGGAACAACTTTGACTGGTGAAACTTCCCTGCAAACCAACACAGTACCAGAAAGAAAAACAAAAAATAAAAAATAAAAAATAAAAAACAAAAAATAAAAAAGCCCCAAAAATGGAAAGAACCTAACCTCCCACCCACAGGCGCGCCCACGAGAAGCACATCAACTCGTTCCCGCACTACAAGCACGACATCCGCGACGACGACGGCAAAACCTACAGCCTGCACTACGTGGCGCTGTTCTCAGAGAAGCCGGACGCAGTACCCATCGTGTTCCTGCACGGGTGGCCCGGCAGCTTCCTGGAATTCCTGCCGATGCTCTCGCTGCTGAAAGCGCGGTACAAGCCCGCCGAGCTGCCCTACCACGTCATTGTGCCCAGCCTGGTCGGGTTCGGCTTCTCTGCCAGACCGCCCCTCGATAGAGACTGGACGGCCGAGGACACCGCCCGCCTTACTGACAGGCTCATGCGTGAGTTGGGCTTTGAGGCTGGCTATGTCGCGCAGGGCGGCGATATTGGCTCGTTTTTGTCCCGCTTGCTCTGCAGCAAGTACGCGTCCTGCAAAGGTATGCCTCCCTCCTCCACCTATCTCCCCTCCAAGCTCTCTCTTTCTCTTTCCTGGCTTCCCAGCAATAGCAACAGCACCAAATCCTAACGCCCCAATCCCCCCCACACAGCCATGCACATCAACGTGTGCAACGTCCCCCAGCCCCCCAACATCCCAGACAGTGCGATCAACGAACTCGAGCGCAAATACCTCCCCCGCGGCGCCGAATTCATGGCCACAGGCGCGGCCTACGCGATCGAACAAGGCACGCGCCCCTCCACAATCGGGCTGGTCCTCTCCACCAGCCCCCTCGCACTCCTCGCCTGGATCGGCGAGAAATTCCTGACCTGGACGGACGCCGACCCAACACTGAGCACGATCCTCGAATCCGTCTCGCTGTACTGGCTCACAGACACTTATCCCACAAGCATCTACACGTACCGCCAGGTAAGCCCCCGCTCCGCGCGTTGTCGTCTCCGCCAACAATCTGTCTCAAGGCTTTTAATGCGCAGACGCTGGGCCCGGACCGCGCGACTAAGGTCAAGGGCGGCTGGCATGGGAACCCGGAGTTCAATACCGGCGACAAGCCGTTTGGCTTCTCCTGGTTCCCGTATGAGCTGGCGCCTGTGCCGCGCGCTTGGGCGGCCACGACGGGCAATCTCGTCTTTTATCGCCAGCATGACGCGGGTGGGCATTTTGCTGCGTTGGAGAAGCCGAAGCTGCTGTTGCGGGATGTCGAGGACTTTGTGGGTAAGGTGTGGGCGAAGGCTAAGTAGTGCGTGGGTGGTGGTTGTGAGATCTCGATGGATGGGTGGATGGGTGGATGGGTGGACGAAGCTACATTATGATGACGATGAAATTGAAAAAACAGTTTACGGTGCCATAATTTGAGACGATACAAAAAGGCTGAGACATACGCGGTTCCATTTTTTTCTGTTCTATCCACGTCATCTAAACTAAAAGCATTCCGATCATGCAGCGTTGGCAAATTGCACTCTCGCAATATCCGTGTTCATCACCGGCCACGCGTGCATGGCCAGCATCATATATTCTCGTATCCGGGGCGTCTATTTGTGAGCTATGCAAGAGTTAGCAGACGGAACACGGGGCACGCAAACACGGCAAGCCAAGCGCAAACTTACCAATGCCCTCCTCAGGCATGGGCTCGATGCCCGCGACCTCAGCGGCCTTGGGCTGGGCCTGGGCGGTCTTGTCGTCCTTCATCATGGGGAAAGCCAGGACCTCCTTGATGGAGTAGTTGTCGGTCAAGAACATGACCATGCGGTCGATGCCCATGCCCCAGCCGCCGGTGGGCGGGAGGCCGTACTCGAGGGCCTGGCAGAAGGTCTCGTCGATGAGCTGGGCCTCGTCGTCGCCCTGGGCCTTTTGGTTGGCCTGCTCTTCGAAGCGCATGCGCTGATCGAAGGGGTCGTTCAGCTCGGTGTAGGCGTTGACAATCTCCTTCTTGCAGACAAAGGCCTCGAAGCGCTCGCACAGGCCCTTGTGCTGGCGGTGGTACTTGGCCAGCGGCGACATCATCTGCGGGTGCCCGGTGATCATGGTGGGGTTGATGCAGCGGTCCTCGATGAACTCGCCGACGAGCGTGTCGAGCATGCGCGCGTTGGTCAGCGGCGGCGAGCACTCCAGCTTCGCCTTCTTGAGCATGCGCTGCAGGAACTCGTTCGTCTCGTTGGTGTGCAGCTCGTCGCCGGGCGGGAACTTCTCGCCGAGCGCCTCCTCGAGCGCGGGGATCATCTCAATCCGCTTCCACGGCTTCTCCCAGTTCACCTCGTACACCTCGCCGTGCTGCGTGTGGAACTTGGTCTTGTACGAGCCCGTCAGGTGCTTGACCAGGCTCGACACCAGCTCCTCCGTCAGGTCCATGATGTCGTACACGTCGGCAAAGGCCTGGTAGAACTCGCACGTCGTGAACTCGGGGTTGTGCGTGAGGTCAATGTCCTCGTTGCGGAACTGGCGGCCGATCTCGTACACGCGCTCCAGACCACCGACAATCAGCTGCTTGAGGTACAGCTCCGGCGCGATACGCATGAACATGTCGAGCTTGAGGTCGTTGTGGTACGTCTTGAACGGCTTGGCCGTGGCGCCGCCCGCAATGGCGTTCATCATGGGCGTCTCGACCTCGATGAAGTCGCGCGAGTCGAAGAACTGGCGGATGTAGCTGACCATGCGCGAACGGGTGATGAACGTGTCGCGCGTGGAGTTGTTCATGATCAGGTCGAGGTACCTCTTCCTGTGGCGCTGCTCCTTGTCCTTGAAGCCGGAGCGCTCGCCGGGAAGCATGTGCAGGCAGGGGGTGAGAAGGATGACCTCCTTGGCGAAGATGGACAGCTCGCCCTCGGCGCGGTTCTTGGGGCTCGTGCGGCCGGGGTATCCAACTATGCCGATGATGTCGCCGCGCCTCAGGTGCTCGTGCTGCGCCTGGAAGGGCACCGAGCTCGTCGACTCCTGCGCCTGGCACATGACCTGCACGTTGACGCCCTCGGCGCGCACATCGTAGAACAGCAGGTTGGCGCCCGAGGCGCGCTTGGTGAAGATCCTGCCGCCAATGCGAACCTCGACGTCCTTGAGCTGCTCGCCCGTCTTCAGGCCCTCGTACTGCTTGAGGAACTCGCGCAGGTCCGTCGTCACCTGGAACTTGTGCGGGTATGGGTTGGGCTCCTGCGTCTGGCGGAGCTTGTTGACCGCGCGGCTGCGGATCTCGAAGTACTGGTTCGGCGTCAACTCCTTCTCCTCGTCCTCGGCGCTCACGGCCTTCTCCTTCTTGGCCTTGGGAGGGGCGGCGGCGGCCTTTTCAGCCTTCTTGGCGTCCTTTTCGCGCTGCTTCTGGCGCCTCTTGACTGTCAAATGTTCAGCACTTGTCCAGAAGGTGTGGAGCGGGCGGCAAAGCTAACGTTCGGTCTTGGAGACGCGCTCGCCGGTGACTTCGTCCAGAAGCAGGTTGGAGCTGTCGCCGCCAGTGACGGCCTCGACGGCCTTGTCGACAATGGGGACAACGGTGTCCTTGACAGTGTCCGCCATGATTATTACTGTTGTTCTGCGGGTAGAGGAACAATTGGGAGCGTCGAGTCTTTTTTGCGGCGCGGCGGGGTCTGTTGATTTCCGGCCTGACTCAAACTTCGTCCAGTTTTTCCGACATTGCCCCGCCATCATGTCACTCCCCATCAGCACCATCAAATAGTCACAGCGTTCGCTTCGGTTGTTGCATGCGCTGTTGTGCTCGGAGTCGATAGCTGGTGCTGAGTCTCACGGCAGGTTGAGCACATGGCTTGCTCAGCCTTAAATAGCTGGGAGAGTAAACACGCTTATAGCCAATATTCCTGTCTATAAGAGTAACGACAAAAATGTGCAAATAGTTAGCCAGATATACAGATAACCGCCCTTCTTTCTAACGTCAAAAACCGCCACCCACCTAGTCATCAAACCCCAGCCCACCAACCCTGCCCAAAAACTCTCCCCTCCCAGCCTCCCTCTCCCTCAACAGCGCATCGACGTCCACGCCGCCCGAAGTCAAATAGCGCTCACTCACACCCACATTCACGCGCTGCGCCAACAAGGCCCTCAACTCCGCGCGCATCGCCGCAACCTCATCGCGCGACAAGCCCTTGGCCTCGCGCTCCTTCTTCTTCCTGCCATTGCCCCTGCCGCCCCGTCCCATCGGCTTCTCCAGCTCCTCAGAGTCGTAGTCGACGCCCAAGTCCTCCGCCGCCTGGCGCAGCAGGTTGTTCTCCTCGGAGTTGGACTTCGACTGCGCGAGCTGCGTGTCGGCGAGTTTCTTGGCGAGCGTCGCGCGCGGCTTCAGCCGGCTGATGATGCGCCGGTCCAGGTCCAGGCTGCGCATGAAGTACGTGCTCTTGGGCGCGCCGTCGCTGCGGCCAGCGTGCACTTTGGCGACGAGGCGCCGCACGCCGACGACCTCCTCGGGCGCGCAGATCAGGATCGAGGAGCCGGAGCTGTCGGCGCGCGCGGTGCGGCCCGACCGGTGCACGTACATGTCTGCTGCTCGCGGCAGGTGGTAGTGCACCACGAGCTGCACGCCTTTGATGTCCAGACCGCGCGCCGCCACGTCCGTCGCGATTAGGATGGAGCCCGCTTGCGAGGAGAAGCGCTCTACGGACCGCAGACGCGCTTTTTGTGCCATTTGCGAGTGCAGGGCCAGAGCGGGGAGGTTGAGGTTCGTGAGGAAGGGGTGGAGGCGGCGCACGGCGGAGATGCTGTTGGTGAAGATCAGAGTGCGGGTTTTGGCGTGCAGCAAAAGGAGAGCGTAGAGGTACAGGTCCTGTAGATTGAGTTAGTATGATTGATTAAATGTCTCGTCGTGAGCGGACCCATACCTTTTCGGTTGCACCGCATTCTACGAGGCCCTCCTTGAGTCCTTCGGCCATTTGAGCCACGGGGTTGACATCCACAAACTTGGGCTTCTCTTCCCGGAACCGAAGTTTCTTTATGAGGTACTCCATCGACTCCTTATTGGACATTAGGTCTGCGCCCGGCCTACTCTTACCGGTGAGTTTTTGCTGAAGGCCCTTGTGGAACGTGGCGGAAAAGACCAGTGTCTGCCTCTGCACCTCCTCTTTCTCTGCAGGTTCGGACTCGTCTTCGTTGTCTTCTTCGTCCTCAATCTCCTCCTCGTCCTCACGGTCAAGGACGTTGAGAATTTCTTCCACCTCCTTGAAGTGCCCTTCGCTCAGCAACCGATCGGCCTCATCAACGACCAAGAACTTGATCTTCTTGAAACGCTTGAGCAGGCCGTGGCCCTGGCCAATGACTTCCCACAGCCGACCAGGAGTACCAATGACAATGTCCGCATACTCCAGGAGACGCTGCTGCTTTTGCACGGACAAACCACCAGTCAGGGTAGCAATCGACGGGCCGTCAAAGGTGCCACTGGAACAAAGTGCAGTGAGATGTGCCGAGATTTGATGTGCCAGTTCGCGGGTAGGGCTGAGGATCAACGCCATAGGGATCTTCTCGCCGTTCTTGACCGGCTTCCTCTTGATCTTGCTGGATTCCAAGAACCGTTCCAGAATGGGGATTCCGTATGCCAGTGTTTTACCAGAACCAGTCGAGGCCTTGCCAATAACGTCGTGGCCGGCAAGGATTTCCGGTATTGAGGCGGACTGGATGCGCGTGGGTTGGGAGAACTTCAGCTTAGACAATGAAGACATGGTCTCGTCGGAAAGGTTGAGGTCGTTCCAGGCCGACGTGTCTACCTCCTCGTCCTCCATTTCATCCAAGAGGCCAGCAAACGGAATTTCACCGATTGGGGCCGCGCCATTCGTAGTCTTTTCTCCGTCTTGTTTGACCTGCTTATCCTTCTGCTTCTTGTCCTTGCCATCCTTTTTGTCATTTTCCTTCTTTTCCTTCTTATTCTTCTGTTTCTGCTCAGCCTTTGCGGTCTTCTCAGCAGCAGCCGTCGCGGGCTTCTCTCGAGGCTCCGACACAGCCTCCTCATCACTAAAGCCAGACCAATCCTCATCATCATCATCATCCTCCTCCCCCTCTTGCGCCTCGCTCGCAGCATTCGCAAGCGTATTCGCCAACGTTTCGCGATCGACCTTCTTCTCGTCCTTAGCCTCCGAAGCCTTGCGCTTCTTCCCCGCCTTAGTGTCCGGCTTCTGGGCCTTCGCGGGCTTCTCTGCCGAGCGGTACGAGACCGTGTCGCCCTCGCGCACGACATCCACGTCGTCAATCTCCTCCAGGCCGAAGAAGCCCTCGAAGTCGTCCAGCCGATCCGGCATCTCAACCTCCTTCCACGCGAGCTTATCCAGGCGCAAGTTCTGGTTCTTCGACGCGGGCATGTCGGGGATCGCGGGCGCGGCTGCGGCGGGGGTCTCGTCGCCATCGGCCTGGAGTTTCTGGCGCTTGCGCGCCTTCATGGCGGCGACCTTGGGCGGGAGCTGCCTCTTTTTTGGTTCGGGCGCCATGGCGAGTGTCGTGCGTGGGTAGGTAGGTAGGGTTGTGGTGTCGTCTTTTTTTCTGCGAGGGAGCACGGAAAACCTCCGCTCAAACTCCGCAAGCACCTCCGCGCCGCGTCCCCACCACCCTCGTCTTGGGACCGCACAAAAATCGCCAAAGAGCTTGGTTGTAGTAGCAGAAATGGGCAAGTCGTCCAAGGACAAGCGCGATGCCTACTACCGGCTCGCCAAAGAGCAGGGCTGGCGCGCCCGCTCGGCCTACAAGCTGCTGCAGCTCGACGAGGAGTTCGGGCTGTTCGAGGGCGTGACGCGCGTGGTGGACCTGTGCGCCGCGCCCGGCAGCTGGAGCCAGGTGCTGTCGCGCATCCTGATCAAGGGCGAGAAGTTTGGGCGCGCGGGCTGGGAGGACAAGCAGGCCAAGGACCACGCCGCCATCCACGGCACCGCCGAAGAGAAGAACCATGTCGCGGCACCAGAATCCCGCAAGGACGTCAAGATCGTCTCGATTGACTTGCAGCCCATGGCCCCGCTCGAAGGCATCACCACCCTGCGCGCCGACATAACGCACCCGTCAACGGTGCCTCTCCTCCTCCGCGCCCTCGACCCCGAAACCTACGACAGCACCTCCACCTCGGCCTCGCACCCCGTCGACCTCGTCATCTCCGACGGCGCGCCCGACGTCACCGGCCTGCACGACCTGGACATCTACGTGCAATCGCAGCTGCTGTGGGCCGCGCTGAACCTGGCCCTCTGCGTGCTCAAGCCCGGCGGCAAGTTCGTCGCCAAGATCTTCCGCGGCAAGGACGTCGACCTCCTCTACGCCCAGCTGAAAATCGTCTTTGAGCGCGTCCGCGTCGCCAAACCCCGCTCGAGCCGCGCGAGCAGCATCGAGGCGTTTGTCGTGTGCGAGGGCTTTCGCCCCCCGGAGGGCTTCGCTGCCTCGTTGGATAACCCGCTCGGCGCCGGCGCCATGCTGTCGTCTGAGGGGCAGCAGCAGCCGATTAAGCACACGCCGTCTTCGCTGCCCTCGCGCCACGTCCGCGGAGACGGCATCACAGAAGTGGAGCTTGGCGACGAAGTCGAAGACGAGGCCCAAGCCTCCTCAGCGCCCTCACCCCGCTGGATCCCGCCCTTCCTCGCCTCGGGCGACCTCGCCGCCTACGACGCCGACGCGACATACCACCTGCCCTTGGGGCGGACGACGCTGGACCCGGTGCAGCCGCCCACGGCGCCGCCGTATAAGCGGGCGCTGGAGATGCGGAAGCGCATGGGTGGGGCGTATGGGAAGACGAAGCTTGGGGGTAGTGGTGGTGTGTGATGGGGTAGAGAGAAGGTACTGTGAGATAGATGAATGAATGCTTGCACGAATTAAGCCGATCCCATTTATCCACCTGTATCTTCTATCCGCTTTTAAGTCTAGTGATACAGTAGGCTGCAAGGACATATAAGCCACAATCACATCTCACGGCTATCCATTTATCCCTCATCCACTCACTCACTCACTACACCAGTCACAGAAAACTCAGCAATATAACAGTAATAAGTATATCATAGCCATCATAACTCGTTCTACGAGTGCAAAAGAAGAGAAGAAAGACCCAGACGAGACAAAGGTACACAGGTACCCAAGAAACCCCATCCGAACCCAAGAGCAAGAACAAGCAAGGAACCTTCCTCAAGAAGTCCCGCATCTACCTAACCCAACACAACCCAACCCACCCACAAACACCACCCCACCAAAACATCCCCTACCTCCTCCCATAAACGGCATGATCCTGCCTCCCCACGCCCTTCCTCTGCGCCGGCACCCTCACCGCCGCCTCCCTGCCCTCCAAATCCGCCATCCCCTCCTGGGCATACTCGCCAACGCCCAGGACCGCCTGGCCAATCAAGCCTTTCCCGCCCCTACCGCCCCGATTCCCCTGCAACACCTTCGCGAAGCCGACCTCCTCGGGCCCACCCGGCGGGCCCGCGACGCCAGCGTCGAACTCCGCGTCGCGACGGAACAGGTTCATGATATCCTTCATGGACAGCTTGCCCATAGCCTTGCCGCCCTCGATAGCCGCGTTCGCCAGCTTGCGCTTTGCCTCTTGCAGGTCGAGGATGCGCTCTTCGACCGTGTGCGCGACGGTGAGCTTGTACACGACCACGTCGACGGTTTGGTTCAGCCGGTGCACCCGGTCGATGGCTTGTTCTTCGACAAAGGGGTTCCAGAAGGGCTCGAGGATCACGACGCGCGACGCTGCGGTCAGGTTCAGGCCGAGACTGCCGCATTTCAGGCTGCAGAGGAGGATGCGGCATGAGACGTCGTTGCGCAGCTTGTTGAGGCTGGCTTCGCGGTGGTCGTTGCGCATGCTGCCGTCGTAGCGCGTGAAGCCGAAGGCGGCTTTGCGCAGGAAGGGCTCGATCAGGTCGAGCATCGAAGTGAATTGGCTGAAGACGATGATTTTGTGGTCGAGGGTTTCTTGCTCAAGAATTTCCAGCAGGCGGCGGATCTTGGTCGAGGTGTGGAGCGTGTTCTTCTCGTGCAGTGAGTCGTCGCTGTCGGATTCTTCCGAGCCGTCTTCCTCCTCTTCGTCTTCCGATTCTGACTTCTCCGTGGCTTGCTCGGCTTCGGACGAGACGAGGTTGATGACGTTGTCCCTGCGTTGGCTCCGCAAGATTGATGGACTCTCGGGGCCATCATCCTCCGTCTCGTCGTCGTCCTCGGAGTTGAGCCACTCGCCACCGCCCTCTGCGTTCTCGTCATCCGTACCGCCAGCCTTTCCGAGGTCTTCGACTTGTCGCTCATTCTCTGGAACAAGCCACGAGCCATCTGCCTCCTCCTCTTCGTCATCACTGTCAAGAATGACTGGCTTCTTGCGTAGAAGCTTGGGCTTCCTCGGAGGTGCATCCTCTTCATCATCCTTTTCTTCCTGAGCTTCAGAGTTTGACTGTCTGTTGTCCTTTGACTTGTGGTGCTTCTTTTTCTTGTGTTTCTTCTTCTGTGCCGCAAGATCGCTCTCGCAATCCGCACACCTAACTGCACCAGAAGCAGTCTCATCCTTTGACAGCTCAATCTGGCAAACATCGCAGTGCTTGGCAGCTACACCAAGGCCTCCGAGCAAATCGGCAAGATCGTCGAGTTCCTTGCTCTCCTCAGTCTTTGTCTTACGCGGAGTTCCAGGCCCGTTCGCCGCGGCAGGGGCAGAGCCGGCCCCAGCGAGCGCATCCTTGTCCTTCCCAACTTGTCCACCGACCAGCTCCGGGTGGTTGCATGCTTGACGAAGACGCAGCAGCAGGACCAAAGCTCCAATGTAGTCGGCCTTCTCGCCGCCCATCAGCTCCTTCAGTCGGTTCTGCGCCCGGTCTGCCAGTCTATCGTAGAAGCGACGTTCCTGGGGATCGAATTCTGCGACAACAGTCTCGACCTTGCGGCCAACGATCCTGAAGCCCTCGCTTTTCTTACCATTCTTGTCTGGCTTTCCTCCTGGGTTGAGAGCGCCTTCCTTCTTGAGGACGTCCTTTGTCCGCCGCTTCATGAAAGCCTTGAGGAAGACCTGCAGTCTCCTCATAGCGAGGTTACCACGGCCATTTTTCATCGGTGCAGCAATATCCGTCTTCCACCGGATGAGCTCATCATAGGGCTTGATCCTCAGGAACTTGATCAAGCTCTGCAACTCATCGAGATTGTTTTGCATAGGTGTTCCCGTCAAGCACCAGCGATAATGCGAGCGGAGAGCACAAGCAGCCTGCGACATCTTCGCGTTCCTGTTCTTGATACTGTGCGCCTCATCAAGCATGATTCTGTACCAGTGAACACCGAAGCAACCGATTCTAGGACCGCCAGCGGCATCAGAGCTTGCTGCGTGCTCTGAAGCCAGGATCTGATAGGTGGTGATAACAATGTCGTACTTCTTCAGAGTTTCGGCGCTCTTGGTCCGGGAGGGACCGTGGTGAACGAGTACCTTGAGGCTGTGAGATGGCAGGACTTTGGTCTTGACCTCGGATTCCCATTGCTTAATGAGAGCCAAAGGAGCAACGACGAGTGTGCACTTGCTGACGCTTGGGGGAATAATGTTTTTGTTCTTTTTGGCATCCTTTTCGGCCTCCTCCTTGGGGTCTGGCCGCGGGTTGTTGAGGATCAGTGCCAAGGACTGGACGGTCTTTCCGAGACCCATGTCGTCGGCAAGGATACCACCCTTGGGCAGCACTCCATTCTTTTTGCGCTGTCCGACTTCCTTGTCGGTCATCCAAGCTACACCATCCACTTGGTGAGGGAGCAGCTTGACGTTAAGACCCTCGACAGTGCCGTCGTCTTCCTCCTCCTCTTCCTCCTCCGGCTCAGGCTCAGGGGCTTCCTCGGCCTTGTCCTCTGCCTTCACCTCCAGAGCCTTCAGCTTATCTGCCAGAGAGCCAAGGGCGGCCTCGTCCTTCTTCTCTTGCTGCTGCTGCTTCTTCTTCTTCCGCAGGCGCGTTTTCGGCTTGTCATCTTCGTCGTCGAACGCACCTTCAAGCAGTGCCTTGATGTTGTCATTTGCTTGGTTTGATTCGACGTATGCGAAAGGATCGGCAGCACCGAACCTGTCATCCCTGATTGCCGCATCGGCATCAAACTCGTCGTCGCTGCCCGTCAGGTCGACCACCCGGTTCTTCTTCTCGCCAGAAAAGTCGATAGGATTCGGCTTTTGGTGGCCGTTGATCGGCTGAAATCCTCCCACTGGGCGTTGCACGGAGGAAAAGACTGGCTGAGGCGTAGGCGGGATGGTGTAGGTGGCGGGCGCGGTGGGCTTCTGGATGGGGACGGCGCCGGACTCTGGGCGTTGTTGGACGAAGCCGTGCGTATTAGCCTTGTGGAATTCTGGGCGCGACAGGCCCGATCTTGGCTTGTTGAACATATGCGAATATTGGTCTTTCTTCAAAGGGTTGCGCAGCGGACTCGCCTCGCCAAACTTGGGTGCGCTTGGCTGCTGGAAGTGCTGCTGGCCTACAGGCCTTGGAGGCTCCCGCTCGTTGACCATCTTGGAATGTTGTGTATGATTTCCGCCGTGTAAAATGCTATCTTCGCCCGTGTTATTCGCAATGTACAGCCCGTCTATGAGTTGCTCTTTAACGTGTCGTGGCAACTGAGGATGGGGAACGAGAGTCGCGATCGGAGCAGCAGGAGAAATGGATAGCCTAGGCTCTTTGGTATGATCTTCGAGGAATAGCGATGTCGAATTTCCCAGACCAGAAAGGTTTACTGAGCTCTCTTCCGGGGCCTCTTCAAACGGTAGGCTCGAGCGGCGAGGCTTCTGTTCGGCGTCTGACTGCTGGAGCAAGCTCTCGGCGGGTGTAGCTTCGGCAACGGAAAAGTATGTCGAGATATAGGCTTGCTTCGCGGGAGCTGGAGCCTTGTTTCGGGCGGAGCGAGAGGGCGTTTGCTGGGAAGAGAGGTTATTGATGGGCCGGAATACCCCGCGGCGAGGGTCTTTTCTGCTATTGGTCAGCACGTCAAACTCTCTGGCATGCGGCGTACTGGTAGAAACATACTTGGTCCGCTTCTGGGGAGCTATGGTGTCGGTTAGTAGTGGTTGTCGTAGGTGGCACCGTTGGGTGTTGATGTGGCAGAGGGCTGGAGTTAAGATGGGCCGGCTTATCGATTAATTGCTTTTTTTGGAATTGTTGCCGGAGCAACGAGCAATTACCTACAGACATCATTCCTGTCTGAGGCACGACTTACTTCTTCGCTGGACGATGAATTTCTCTCTTCACGGTGATGGACATTACTACCGCCAGACTGGCACGGACTACCTGGGACTGGTCTGCAGCTCGCACCTTCCCTTCCCCGCCAACGCCAAGCCGCTCGCGCAGCCGCATGAGCACAATTGAGCAAGATAGTTTCTCGTGCCTGCTCTGAAAACGGACAAACCTGCTCATCACCGCCGCGACTGCCATCATGAACGAACGTCTAGCTCCTGCCGTGTAGCGCCACACCGTGGACGGCGTTGGTTTACGATGGGACTACAAAAGCACCTTCTTCCCACACCTTTCCATACTTGTTGACTGTGAACGGAGCTCTTTTCTTTAACTTGTCCAGGCACTCTGTACCTCGAGTTTTCCAGTCTTCTCTCCGCTTGCCCAAAATGATCGGCTTTTTGCTTTTCTTTAACCTCTTGACCCTCGTCTCCGCCCACTTCACGATCCAGTACCCGACCTGGCGTGGTGATTCCTTCGCTGATGGCGCCTCTCAGTGGATCTGGCCCTGTAAGTCCACATCTCATCAGAACCTAGAACCATTTCAACCTCTGCTAACTACCCTACTCCAGGTGCCAACGCCAACCAGACCTTAGCCTCTGAGGTCAACCGCACCAGTAAGTCACACGTGCTCATTCCAAACTAAACACAGCTCCCTAAACTGCTCCCAGCCTGGCCTCTCACTGGCGGCTCCCTCCGAATGCACGTCTCGCACCCCTGGGCCTTGACCTACATCAACTTGGGCCTCGCCGTTGGCAGCGGAGGCGACAACGAAGCCACACACTCGAAGCGTCAAGCCACCGATGGTAACGGGAGTGACACCCTTGCTGCCAACGCGGTCCCCAGCTTCGACACAAGCCTGCTCGCTGTCTTCAACCAGACCGGCAACGGCACCTTCTGCCTGCCCGAAGTGGGACGCGCCGCGCTCGCGGGGCTCGAGGGCGTCAAGGACGGCGTGAACGCCACTATCCAGGTTATCCAGATTGCGCACGGCGGCAACGCGCTCTACAACGTGCGTTTAACTTGTTCTTCTTTACATTGCTAGCTCTCTCTGTGCATTCACTGACTGATTGTACTTAGTGCGCTGACATAACCTTCTCATCCAACGCAACGCTCCTGTCCGGCGATGACTGTGTTAACACCACCAATGTAGGCGGCTACGACGTCCTTGCAGCGGAGGCTAGCAGCACCATCAGCAGCAATGGCACCTCTCCAACGGCTACGAACTCTGGCGCAGTTGCTACGCCGGGCTTAATGATGCTTCGAGGCATGGCTGTCGTGGCTGCCATTGGCTTGGCCATTGGCGTCGGGTTCTAAGTGGGAAGGGGTCTTGCTTGTGGGGTTGAGATAAGGATGTTAAGGGGAGAAGGGGTTGGGGAGTGGTAAGGTTGTGTTGTTCCTGCTATGATGATGCACTTGTCTTTGCTTTTGTAGCGGAGATATCATGACGAATGAATGGAAGAGAACTTACTTAATTGACTTTCCGGACGTAGGGGATGCGGAATATATTTTCATTCTGTATGCTTCTCTTACTGTCACTGACAGGGCACGCCGTACAATGCTTTACACTTCACAGAATACTCTATCCCTCTTCATTCCAAAAGGGCGGAGGGGTCTGAGGAAGGGTAGTGAGCGCTGGTAGTACGTATATTCAGAGCGAGGTTGCCCTGGACGGCTAAGAGGATTGCTTCAGCTGATGGCGCCTGCGCCTGCGCCGGCCCCTAAACAGCCGCCTCGCCGCAATATAAACAACCAAATTATAAAAGCCAGCATATCAAGCTAGGAGACAACCAACCAGGCTTACGCTTCCATGAAGTGAATGAAACAAACACCCATCGAGTCGACATTGCGGCTCTCGGGCTACTAACATCACGCGCTTATGCTAAGCTTTAGTTATCTTGGCTTGACACTCCTTCTCCATTCTTCCTCTAGGTGTCTGGGTGTGAGGGGTATAATGGGCATTAGTACGCCCTGCTGATGCTGAGTGCTACCGTGGAGGGTTGCTGAATATCTATTTTACTCGGTGATGATGAGTAGTATTAAGCATTACTTATCATCTTTCTTGCGATGAATGGAAGTGCGGGCTTAGCCACTAGTAGAGGGATAGGACGTGTTGTGTAAAGAGGCGGCAGGCCCTTATAAGTACGAGGTCGTCGTCTCTAGTACGTCGTAAGCGAAGCAGCTGGGTTCTTTGGACTCATCTTGGGCAGTACTAGGGAGATTAGGACGGGTGTGGGAGGAAGGCCCAAGGTTTTGTATGTTTGGGGAGTGCGTTGGTTTGGGTCGAGATTGTTGTGGTTGTTGGGGTTGGGTTTGTGGGCTACGCTGGAGAGGTGTTGGCGTTGTTGTTGTTGATGTTGTAAGGTCGTGTATATCAGTAGTAGTGACGGGTTTAGGGCTAGGGAGGCGGTTGGATATATGTGTGTGTTTTTTATGTCGTACTGTTGTATGGTAGATAATTCTGCAGACTGTGGGTGTGGGGTATGGGTAGGGGTGATAGAAGGGTAGACGTGTTGGTTGCGTAGGTAGTTAGAGGAGGGGCGGGCTTATATGGGTGGAAATTGGAATGGGTGTTCGGAGTGAGTGCTAGGGTTAAGCTGAGTCTTTCCGATTGTCTTTGGGTCTTGGGGAGGAGCTGCGTTGGTTCCGTGGGTGCTGTGCTGTACGTGTGCGCTGGGCTGCTGTGTTGCGTCGGGCAGCGGGAGACTGATGCCTAGTTCGCCGAGGGTGGATAATGTCTCGTTTTAGTGAGTCGCTGCTCGCTGCTACGTAGTGAGAGAGGCATTATGCTTAGGTGGAGAGAGGGATTGAGGAAAGCTACTAGCTAGTCCCGGAGGGCTCTTTCTGCCTCTTACTTATCGGTATCTTCCAGATTGATGTGTGTATATTGTACAGCGGCAGTATTGATATTGCTTATTCGTGCGGGTGAGAAAGGGGGAGAGAGGGTTGTAGGTACGGGTGTAACAGCTTAGCGATCTAGAGTAGGGAATGAAGAAGGAGAAGTGGACACGTTAGGGGGTGTATAAGTGTTAAGAAAGTTAGGGGCGAGGAAAAAGAGGGAGTAACGGGGGTTATATAAGTTATTCTATTTAGGTCTAATATACTTTCTTTGTCTTCTACTTATATACTCTCAATTATTTACCATGGTTTATTTCTTTTACGAAAGAGGAGTGAAGAGTGGATATCAAATTAAGAGAGATAGGAAGATATATATATAAGGTGTAAGCTAAATATTTATATTAAGGAATTAAGTGTATAATAGTAATATGAAGATAGACATTTAAATAGAGTAATCTGTTTTTATATAGCTGAAAGGGAGGGAGGAGTATTGACACTCTATCCTTTACTTTTAATAGATAGTAGGCCGACTCGATTGACCAAATAGTAGCTAAAAAGGCTAAACAATAGCTAAGAACAATAATCTATAATCTATTAACCCGTTCGTCTACTGAGTCTCTGGGGAAGTATCTACAAGCGCCCTACTAAATTTACGGTAGGTAACTACTTAAGTGCAGCTACGTTAGCCTTCTTCTTAGTATCTAAGTATTTTAAACATTTTATAGCCTCCAGATCTATGTTTTCTATAGTGCTACGGAAGACCCTCTTTCATTGTAAAAAGTCACTACTACGATCACAATAAAGACAGCGGTAACGATAATTATGTGTAAAACATGTCTGAGTATTAGGATAGCATAGCGGTTTGGTATTTAGGTTTTTGATTGTATGATGCTTTATTCGACGGAGACGATGATGATGATACTGTGATGCGTATAGGCTTTGTCGTGCGAAGCAAGCGTGCTCCGAGGTATATGAGTTAAGTATCTACGTATCCTAATAAAGCTTCTGTTTTGTGGTATGTTTTGTTTCTACTGATGGGATAGTGACTTATCCCGCCCTGTTGGGTGCGGACATTACTATGGGACCAGAGCATCAGTCGTGGATCTATGGTTCGATAACCTGCGTCTTTGTATCTCCATCCCTCTATGTGTGTGCCATTTATCTTGTCTAATTGTCTAATACGTCTCCATGCTTCCGTATCTCCGCGCCTTTCTCCTTTCACCTCCTCTTCTATTGCTCTGCAAACATCTCCGGGCTGTGTATATAGTGCCCTCGACGGCGTTTGTGGTGCTTAATGAAGGGCTGCTTAGGTTCCTAGCGAGTGATTAGACATGCTGTCATCCCTAGGGTCGTTCTTGCTCAGTGACGGCGGATAGAGTCGGTTCTGGACGAGAATAATAGGTGGGCTGTGCAGATGGCATAATGATGCTGGTATCAGACGAGTAGAACAGAGACAATGAGTCACTGTGCCGGGAATGGTCCGTGTAAGGGGGTAGAGGAAAGGTGAAACACTGAGTATACACTGGAGTGAAGAGGATAGGATATGTGTGGCCAGTGAATGGCTGAGCGAGAACGACTGTGTAAAGAGACAGTGAGCAGCCATTCTCTATCGAGAGGAAGGTCCCACAGACCCAACACGAGGAAGAGAAGGGAAAGACAAGACGGCAACAAACATGGGACATCACGACCTCCCCGTCCCACACGCACCAGCTTCCATCTCCTCCGTCTCCTTCTTTCTCTCGCGCACATCCGCACCCGCACGCATCCCCGCCACCACCAACGCGCGTCACGACACCCACCTCCCACCTCGCCGATCTGGCAATAGAAGCACGAGCACAAGCAATACACCAGCCCTTGGCGTCCAGAGCCGCCACTCGGCGCGCCCGCCGACCTCGCAAGCACTAGGCAGGTATGTAGCTAGCACTCGCAGCACAAGCACGAGCATGAGCACGAGCACAATCAACAATAGCAGCAGCAGCAGCACGAGCTCGTGCTCCAGGACCAACGCATGGCCCTTCCTCTCTCTTCTATCCCCTCTCGTACGCCCTTACAGTCCACTAGCTCGCGAATAGATTGCGTGCCAGCGTACAACCCAGCCAGGCACAGGCACTTGCACAGGAACAGGAACAGCGGGCACCGATCTCCCGGCCGATCGCTGCCTCTGGCTGTCCACACCCACACCACGCACCCACTCAGCCCGAGCGCAGCAGCGAGCCGTCTCTTCGACGATCCCCTCTCGCCCACGACCAGCTCCTGCCCAGCCTAGCCCAGCCAGCAAGCCAGCCAGCAATATTCCGCACGTACGCCCTGGCCATGGTCATGACCATGACCATGACAATAACGATGACAAGCCAGGTCCCGCCGCCGACGACGCCGCCGACGCCGCCTCGCCCGCCGCCGGGACCTGCCAGCCCGATCGAAAGAGGCAGTACGTCCGGCCGCGATCGTCCCGTCCGCCGACAGAGCCGCTCCGCTGCTGCAGCGCCGCGCCATGCCATGCCATGCAGAGCAGAAGGCAGGCAGGCAGGCCGGGCGGAGGAGGTGGGCTGGGCATGTGGCTGGCTGATGGCGCGCGTGGAGGAAGGAGGCGGGAGGGGTGGCGCTTGCTTGCCTTGCCTTGCCTTGCTTGCCTGGCCTGGCCTTGCCCTTGCTCGTTTGCTTGATTGCTTGATTGCTTGCCTGGGTGCCTGGCCCTGTAGGCCTGCCTGTGGACACGCGCGCCTGCGCCCCTATCCCAGCATCGCCATTCTTGCCCCTCCCAGCCCCTCCCTCTCCCCCTCCCCGCGCTTAAGTGGCGCCTGCGTGTGGTCTTGATTGCCCAGCTCTAGGACGCTTTCATACCCATACCCACCTACGTAGGCCACATGCGTCCAAAAACGCTTGTCATCTCGGCCCAGCGATGCCGGCGCGGACGTGGGACTTTGGGGTTGGGCATGATTGGGGGTTTGTAAGCGTTTACAACTTACGCACGTACATACGGGCAAACAGACAGGCAGACAGACAGACATAAGTTTGTACGGACATATGTACGTGCGTAAATGCACGCGGATTAACTTCAGCGAAAATAGGGCGTTTGCTAGACTTTGGTGGTTGACTAGGTGATGATGTGCGCGCACGAGGTACCGTCACTGTAACTATCCCGCCAAGCACGACAGAGCGACAGGGCCGCAGCTCGTATATGTGGGGGCCAAGATGGCGGGCGATAGTAGACGATCGATGAAGAGGCGTCCGCTTTAGGGAGAAGAAAGATCAGCGAAGCAAAAAGGAATCAAAAAGTAAAAAATAAAATAAAATAAAAAATAAAAAAAAATGAAAAAGTGCAAGGGACGACGCGGAAACAAGGCGTCCCATCAGCGCAAGCAGCACCCCTCCCCCTCTATCCCCATGGGGCAACAGAAACGAAATCTCGCGTGCGTGCGTGTGCGTGCGGCCAAACTTGCGGGAACCCCCCCATGGCCCCATGAACAAGTGGTGGATGGGTGGGTAGTTGGCAGGCTTGCAGGCTGGCAGGTTGGTAGACTGGTAGGCAGGCTTGCTTGCTTGCTTGCTTGCTTGCTTGCCTGCCTGCCTGCTTGCTTGCTTGCTGCTGCTGTCAAAAAAACGCAGGCTACTGCAGACACCCGGGCGCGTGGCGCTAGCAGCGGTGTGCGCGTCGCCGTTGTTGGCAGCTGCCTGTGATCTCTCTTCGAGAAACTGATCGCCGTGCCTGCCGTGTCTATGTATGCAAACATGCAAGCCAGAGCAAGCAAGCGCGCGCGCGAGCTCGGCGTCCGGGGAGGCCGATGACCGGGCGGTATTGTTTGCGAGAAGGATGGATGGAGGGTGGAGAGGGATGGACGAGGGTAGGGATGGTGGGACGGAGGGATCATGGATGATTGATGGTTTGAGAGGGCGCATATGCGCAAAGAGTTTCTTTTTTCTTTTTCTTTTTTGCTTTTTGACCTCTTGCTTTTTGCTTTTTTTTCATGTCCGTGAGGGCCTGGTCGGGGTGTTCGGCGGCGGAAGGGGCAGTGCACGGCGGAGGCTAAGGTTGAGAACATGCAGGTTCGTGCCGTGCGTGTGAGAAGGTGTATGTATGAAGAAGGGGGCTAATTAGCTATTAGGGTAATCCGTAATGTACGAGAGAGAAAGTGAGGGAGAGAGAGGCTCGACTCCGTCATAGTGGGTTGGGTTGACCGTGGCTCGTTTCTGCACGGCGGACCGCTTTGGGGAAGTCAACAACAGGGCCAGCAACGGCCGCGTTCGTATAATCTTCCGACCGAGCGGTTCGTTGTCGCCGCCCCCGTGTCAGACCTCCCTGTGAGGCAAACAATATTAGATTCTCGAGCGGATGATCTGACTAGCTCAGACGGCCTGCTTGCTCCTTGCACGCTCCGGGTCCCAGAAGCGCGGGATGCAGGAACAGCGCACGCCTCGCTATCGAGTAGCTGTGTCTCGTGCAGCTGTCTCCGTATCTGTGTATGTACTGTATGTATGTACATGTTCCATGGTCGTTCCGTGGAGCAGCCCATATCCCTGATATGAGGGGGTGGCTGCTGTACCACCAGGGGCCCCCCGTGCCGCTATGGGTTGCCAGGCTTATCGCCGGTGGCCCACAAAGGCAGCTTCAGGTGTGTCTTTTTGCTTTTTCTCTGACAGCCCGACGCGCGCGGCCCCAATGTAAGGGTCGCGAGCACGTCCTTCCAGAAGCCAGTGCTCGTGATCGATGAAGATTCTGCCGACGCAAGGGAGCGCCGCTTTGGACCGGGGGCCCCTGGGCTGACGTGGGGGGAGCGACGAGGATGGCTGGCACGAGCTGATAGTCGCTAGCCTGCTGACGAGGGGTGCTGACTGTCTGAGATGGACGGAGGATAAGCCGCGGAATAATTAGTTGGGTTTGAGATTCAGATCCGCCAGTGGTTTTGTTTGTGGGGCATACGTAGCGTCCGTCGTGACGAAATGGCATTGACCGTCCAACAAGACCGTGTTTCGGGCTCGAAGATTCGAATCTGAACAGCCATGAAACTGCAATTGCTTGTTGTCCGGATATAAGCTTAAGCTTTGGGAATAGTTGAGGCGTTCTTGGGGTAAACACAATTCCTAATTGCAATTCGTACATACGGAAATTGCTGATTGATTTGAGGGACAGCGAATCCTGCTTGACGGTGAAGAATACTCGATTGTATTCGTTGCAGGGTCGTCGGTTGTAAAGCCCGGCACTGTGTGTGTCCAGATGACCACCTAATCTCGGATCTACGGACCTTCAGCCTCACAGCGACCCGGAGAGCAAATGAGAATTGCATCTTTGGGCGTCGCGTGCCGCCCAAGTCGCGGTGGGCACGGCTGGGGTCCAAGATTTGCCGGAGTTGGCTTTCCGCGCAGGCCTCGGCCCGCCATCGAGGAGCGTGCGGTGGGTGAATGGCGAAAGAATTGCTTGGTAATAACAATGCGAGCCGCTTTGTAACAACAATGCATCGGCCATCGTCGTTGTCGTCGTCGTCGTCGTCGACAAAGAAGACAGCAGAGAGTGAGAGAGAACTCTAACAAGACCTCGACGACACGCCGTTTGCGGCCATGATGTCACGCACGCCCTCGCCGGGTAGCACCGCTGGCAGCGCCCCGGATCTGGGGCAACAGCCCACCTACGAGCCCATCAGACTCGATGCCGGCGACCGGCCGCGTCCGCGAAGCTTACACTCATATGCAGGCAGCGATGGCTACACACGCTGGGATGAGGAAGACGTGCTTCCTTCTCCTCCTCCTTCTACCGGGGCACTCCCCGTCGACCCAGAGAAGGCTTTCGACGTCACATGGGAAACGCTGCCTGATGCCGCCGCCTCGCGCACCACGCTCAATCCTCGAACCATGTCCAAGGCTCGCAGGTGGATGATTGTTGTCATTGTTTCGGCGAGCTCGCTCTGCGTGTACGTCCATGGCCTCCTCACTTTGCCATATCGTCATCAACGCCACCACCACTTCTGTCGACTCCGCTAACCCTCTCCTTCTAGGACGTGCACCTCGTCGCTATACACCAGCACCTACGGTCAGCTGATACCCGAGTTCCACACCTCGCGTATAGTGGCTACGCTTGGTCTTTCCCTCTTCGTGGCGGGCTTGGGCTGCGGACCCATGATCCTTGGCCCTTTATCTGAAGTACGTGTAACAGCCAACATCCTATGGAAGGATTCGTCAGCAGCATGCGGCTTGCTTCTCTCCGTCTGCATGATCCCCAACCACAATGCTGACGCCGTGAGCAGTTCTACGGCCGCCGCCCCATCTACATTGTCTCCTACACCTTCTTTCTCATCTGGCTTGTCCCTTGCGCCGTCGCGCGCAACATGGCCACCATGCTGGTCAGTCGCTTCTTTGACGGCCTTGCTGGCTCCGCTTTCCTGAGCGTCGCTGGCGGCACCGTCGGCGACTGCTTCGCCAAGCACGAGCTCTCTGCCCCCATGATGATTTACACTGCATCGCCGTTCATTGGGTATGACTGTCCCCACCCCTGAAATTTTCCTATGATCGTCGGAGCTTGATCGCTGCGTGACGGCCCACCCCCTCTTTGCTGCTCAGCCTTGTCCAATGACTGCACGAAAAACAACAAGCCCCAGCGCGTCCAGACTGCTGCGGACCGCGTTTCCGCGGCGTCTGCCGCAGCAGCCATGTCAAGAGCGTGTAACCTCCGTCCTCGTCAAGCGAGATTCACCGTCCAACGAGATGATCGGGCTCGTAAATCCAATTAGAAGGTTTGTGGGTTTTCCAGCTACGTTCAGGGCTCAAGCCTGTAGCTCGACAAGGAGTCGTCTATAGACTACTCAAGCCCCTTTGTGAGGGTGTCGAGGTAACGTTATGGCGTCATCGAATTTTCGCACTCAGAAACGTCGGACGATAGAGGACGTTAAAGTCGAAGTGAGGCGTTGAAGGTTCTATTGGCTCTCGTTGAACGGTGAATCTCTCTTGACATTGACAGGTGTTAGCCGCGAACTTGTCATTGCTCCAAGTCAAAGCAAGCGGGAAGCCGTGTTGCAGGGAAGATACCCTCGCAACCTTACATGCCCCATGCTTCTTCATTAGCATGGATTGAATCTTCACATGGTCGATCAGTTGCTAACGCGCATACCGCCAGGCCCGAGGTTGGCCCTCTGGTGGGCGGCTTCATCAACCAGTACACTGATTGGCGGTGGTCCTTTTACGTATTGTTGATCTGGGCCGGTCTGCAGCTGGCCTTGATCATCCTGTTAGTGCCCGAAACGTATCACCCTGTGCTTCTCCGACGCAAAGCTCAGAAGCTAAGAAAGGAGACTGGCGACGAGGCTTGGAGAGCACCAATCGAGAGGTCGTCCAAATCTATTCCAAGGACGATAGTTTTGTCGTGCACTCGCCCATTCCAGCTTCTAATCTTGGAGCCAATGGTAGAAGACCAGACCAGTGAGTACGAGGAGCGGCAGTGCGCTGACTTACGATTACCTGCAGTGCCTAAACCTATGCATCCTATCGGCGATCTTGCTAGGCATTCTATACCTCTTCTTTGGTGCCTTTGCCCTCGTGTTCGAGAATAACCATGGTTTTACACAGTCACAGACAGGCTTGGCATTCCTGGGGCTTTTTGTAGGCATGATTCTAGGCATTCTCACCGATCCCCTGTGGCGTAGAAACTATGCCAGACTCGTTAGGAGACGCGAGGCGGAGGGTGGCGAGAAAGGCGAGTCCGAGCCCGAATTTCGTCTGCCTCCTACGATCCTGGGGGCCGTAATCGTGCCTATTGCGCTTTTTGGTAGGTGATGACGCCCTGACGAAGGTCGAGCTGCTGCTAACCGTGACATGTATGTAGGATTCGGCTGGACGACATATTCCTCGGTGAGTCGAACGGATGACCTGCCGGGCACTTGGATTGCTAAAGCAGACCTTGCAGGTTCACTGGATAGGTACGTCAAGCGCCGGTGTGGGGGAGAGCTCGTATTCGAGCAGAGATAGCTGATCACCTGCAGTTCCAATAATCTTCTCGGGCTTGTTCGGCATTGGGTAAGACCGACTCGACGACGTGTAAGGATGACACGAAGGCTGATCTTGCACTCACGTTGTAGTGTCATCTGTGTCTACTCAGGGGTATTCACGTTCCTCGTCGATTGTGTAAGTGGACTCGGCGGCCCCAACCAGGTGGCTACGATGCTGACGGGGCTGGCGGGGGGCAAAGTACCCATTGTATGCAGCCAGTGCATTGGCGGCGAACAGCTTTGCTCGGTCAATGTTTGCCGCAGCGTTCCCGCTGTTCGGCGTCCAGATGTACAACAGTGAGTACCATCTGAGACAAAGCAGGATGATGTCGACAGGTGGGCAAAGTAGCGGTCACTGACGTAAGCGCACGACAGGCGTGGGATACCAGTGGGCGACGTCGGTGCTGGCCTTCCTGGCCTTGGCCATGGCCCCGTAAGAGCCCTGCCCCGTCCCAACGATATGGTCATGGAGTCGGCTAACGCTGTCGTGCGCCGGCTAGCTTTCCTTACTTTTTCTATCGGTACGGCAAGAGGCTCAGGGGCAAGAGTCGGTTTGCGTCAGCGTAGGCCGGATGGGGCAAGGCGAGCATCGGGGGGGGTGCGTCGGTTGGGATTGTAGCTGGCAGGCGACGGGCGCTTGCTGCCTGGCGGGCGGCTATATATAGTGGTCGCACCGCATGCCAGCACGTGACACAGTCTCGACCATGTATGTAAGTATGTATGTACGTCTAGACTCACGGCGACACGAGAGGAGAACGTGGCCGTCGAGTAGATGGACGAGTCGTGAGGGGATGAAGATGGAAGAAGCAAGTCTTGTATGTAGAGTAGAGCGGTTGCGGGCAGATCCATGGCGAATCAGCGACCAAGGCTGGGTGGAGAGCGGGGCCCACCACCACCACTACTCGTCAAGGTCGTCAATCACTCTGTCAGTGACCGTACAGTAACAGTACGACGCCCGCATACGCTCTCTCCCTCACCCTCTCTCTTGACTCTCTTGTCTCCCCTCCCTCCCTACACACGTACGTACGGGTTGCCGGATCTTGCGCGCGCGCCTCACCGCTCTCGGCACCATCCAGCGACATACCCTCTCCTCTCTCGCTGTGCCGCTGAGCCATCTGTCGTCCCACCCCACCGCGTCGGCCATTTGTTGCGAGGGAGCAGTGCGTGTACCTGCCTGCCGCAGCTGCATCTCTCCTGCACGCACGACACGCACGCTCCGCCGCGACGCCGCCAGCATGGGCGCTGCCAAGTTGTCCTGATCACAGCCATGATTGCAAGCTCAAGCCGGCTACCCCCTCGATCGCTGCATGGACCCCGGCCGCCTTGTGTTACCGCAATATTGTTCCATTTCTGCGTGCCGGACTGATTGGACTCGCCCGCTGATTGGACCCCCGCCGCCGCGATTGGCAGCAATCGGCACCCGCGCAGCTGGACAGAGCAGAGGCTCGCGCAGACGAGCCAGCAGCTGAGCGACCGCACGGTGCCACTGCAGCTCACGTTCGCACGCGTGATCGAATATTCGAAACACCCAACTGGGACGTCGCCAGCCGCGGGCCCTGTGCAGATTGGTCGAGCCGGCGCGCTGGGAGGGGCCGCCGAGGCAACATTGGCGGATAGGCGCAGCATAAACGTGGGTCTACAGCAGCGGTAGCTTCGACGCAGACATCCGTGCCTTGGGCTTACCGGAGTGGGTGCCAGTACCTTTGCGGAAAGATATTATGACCACCCCAGACGCCGACGATGCATCTCCCTCACCGGATTACAGCGGTGATTTGGACGGGAGCGAAATGGCAGACTCCAAGGACCAGCGCGCCTCGAGCGATACTTCACCTGCGCACACGGGCTCCACCACCGGCCAGAAGCCTGCCTCGAACGCCAAAGATCCCCTCAGGCCGCGCAGGAAGAAGGCGAGGAGAGCGTGCTTTGCCTGCCAGAGGGCCCATCTCACCTGCGGTAAGTTCACCGTCTAATCTGTAACCCCTCGCCGCGACTATGGGGGCATCCCGGCGTATACGTCAGGGTAAATTACTTACATCTCGCCAGGCGACGAGCGACCTTGCCAACGATGCATAAAGCGCGGCCTCCAGGATGCCTGCCACGACGGCGTGCGCAAAAAGGCCAAATATCTTCATGACGCGCCCGCCGAGGCCTTGATGCCTGGCGTCGGCGGTCACTATCCTTCTTCTCATCTCAACTCCGGCGGCCAGCCTGGCGCAGCGTCGGTCCCGAACGCAGTCCCTCTTGGCCAGCCCAACACATTTTATCCGCACGCGGCGCAGCAAGCGAATTATAACGTATACCCTAATGCCAGCCAGGGGCAGATGCCGCCACCAATGCAAGACGCATCCTCCGTGATGAATTCCTTTAGCAACCAGCAATCGCCGATATCTCCGCACTATGGCCAAAGCCCCCAGCAAGCGCCCGCCATGCAAACCATGGCGAACGGACTGCCCCAGGGCCAGCAACAGAGCGCATCGCAGATGCAAAACTTTTCAAACATGCCGTTTGATCCCAGCGATCCCGCCATTTTTAATTTTGATCTCGCCAGCCTCAACTTCGGCAATCATTACGGAGCGCTCGAGTTTGGCATGCTTGGCCATATGTCCTCGGGTGCTGCCGAGACACCGCCAGAGAACAACAGCGTGATGAATCCGCTGAACCAGGCGGCAAGCATCTATAACGGACCCATGAGCACGTCATCCGGATCAACGGAGAACTTGGCACTTGCATCTGGCTTTGGCTTCAACGACGGTATAACGTCAACGGATTGGCAAAACGCACATTCCAGGCATGGCAGCGCTGCTCATGTCCAGACGCCAAACAACACCCCAGCCGCAACCACCTTGGATAGTACCCTACGACAAGAAACTCAAAATGGCATGCCGCTTGCTTATGCTGTCGGTGCTGGACCCGGCAGTTTGGCAAGTGCTAGCCCGGCCTCATTGCCAGACGTTCCGAGCTTTGAAGCTGGACCAATGTCGCCAGCTTACTTCCCAAGCCAAACCCAACAGCAGCAACAACAGCAACAACAGCAACAACAGCAACAACAGCAGCAACAGCAACAACAGCAGCAGCAGCAGCAACAACAACACAACCAACAAATGTACAACAGACAACAGCAGCTGCAAAGTCAACGGGCCCAGGAGCTGCAAAATCAACAGAACAACGCTGCGTTGAACGCCCAGCAAAACCAAAATCTGGCAAACCGCAAGCGACGACGTGACCCAAGCGAGATTTATGATTCTGTTACTAGTCCATACGGTTACACGGATGGCTTCCACGGTCTCGTCGCTTTGCTGAAGCAACGTTTCTCCATGGCCAAGCGGTCACGCATCGCTCAAGCACTAGCCTCGATCCGGCCCTCATTTATCGCATGCACCAGCACGCTCAACACGGACGACTTGATCTTCATGGAGAAGAGCTTCCAACGGACGTTGTACCAGTACGAAGACTTTATCAACGCTCACGCCGTACCTACCATCATCTGTCGTCGCACGGGCCAAGTGGCCGCCGTGTCTCAGGAGTTCAGCCTCCTGACCGGTTGGCGCAAAGACGTGCTGCTTGGCTACGAGCCCAACATGAACGTCAATACTGGCGGCAGCAGTGCATCTACCGCCAACTCCGGCACCGCCTCTCGTGGTGTAGGCGGCACGAACACTCCAAGGGGCTCTAACGTCGACCAGCAGGGCCAGAATCAGTCCGCTCCCGACAAGCAGCAGCCGGTCTACCTAGCCGAGTTGCTAGACGACAACAGCGTCTGCCAGTTCTATGAGGACTTTGCCAAGCTCGCGTTCGTCGCACCGCGAGCCACGGCCACACGGGCATGCAAGCTCATCCGTTATCGCACTAAGGAAGACATGGCGAACCTGGATAACCTGAACGTCAAGGGCGAGCACGACGGTGGCAATAAAGACGGCAAGACTGGCCCGCGGTTCACGAACGTCAACGGCAACACGGTGGTGAAGCTGGAAGGAGGCGGTACCGCAACCGTGGGACGCCCCGGTGGGAAGGACGGCTTGATCGACTGCATGTTTTGCTGGAGCGTCAAGCGCGACGTGTTCGAGGTGCCGATGTTGATTGTTATGAATGTGAGTAGTGTTGCTGTCGACACCCATCATCATCTACCACTTGCTAACACGCTGCCCGCAGTTCCTGCCCATAATGGAATGAATAATAGCACCATCCGATACGAATACCTAACTACCTACACCCACCTCGCTGCCCCATGTCGGTGGCTAGCGAGAGCAGACGCGGTCCGCCTACATTAATATCCTTACACCCCACCATCTTCACTTTCTCCTCTGGACCTGCCGCGCCCGTCGCGTGCAGGCTCGACTCGTCGAATATATCCCGCGGTATATGGCCGGGCCCACTGCTGCTTTTTTGTTTCTGCTTGTTTGCTATTCTCGCGCCTACTTTGGGAGGTTAAATTTTGCGTAGTTTTGATTTATTGCTCTGTTCTGTTCTGTTATGATTTGGCTTGATGGATGATGTCGCAGCTTGCGTGCGTGCGTGCGAGCGTGCGAGTCTGTTTCCTTACCATGTCAAGGGCTAGGCGACGCGTCGAGTGGTATACGGTATACCTGACCCGGCTTCCTTCGTTCCTCCTCCTGCCTTTTATAGGGGGGGGTTGCGATGCGTTGCGCTGGGGGAGTCGGGCGTTGGGGTAATATTGTTGTTGTTGGAGTGGCTTCTGGGTGGAAAAGTGTCCTTTTTGTTGTCTTTTATTGCTTGCCTGTTTTCGCGCACGCTTGCTTGCTTTTTTATTGTGATGGGAGGGGCCGGTCGGTCGGTCTGGCACAGTGGGAAGTGAATAGGGTATGCGCCTGGCAGGAGGGCAGGCTGGGTTGGGTATGTACACAGACAGGCAGGCAGTGTGGAGGCGGGGAGGGCACGTGAGCGCGCGCTCTCTCTCTCATCTCCACTATCATCATCATCTCCATCATCGCTTCTTTCTCTACCTAGTCGTCTTCTTTGCCTGTCGTCTGGCTCGCCTGTCTGTTTGTCTGTGAGGATCTGGTGTAGCCCGTGTGGGCGTGTGCGTGGGTGTCGCGGCGCTTAGTCAGGGCTACAACCACTCCCCTTCCATCCAACTAACCAACCAACCAAGCAACAGATGTCAAGGCTTCTTCTCCCTCTCTCTCCCCTTTTCTCGCATAGACAGACGCGTCGCTACACAATCGAGCGAGCAAGCGAATCGGACAAGCTATCCGCGAACGAATAAAGAAACGAAGTGCCTGCTACGAAGCTGGCTGCCTACATAGGTAGGTATCTAGGTACTTGAGGGCGCGCGACGACGTGCTGAGAAGGTGTAGAACGGGAAAAGAGAGGGTGGATAGGGGTAGGGGTAACGGTGTTAGGTGTTAGGTGTTGGTCGGCGGTGCACGGTAAGCTACTGGCGCTAGTGTCGGTTGCGATGTTGTTTATCGGTAGCGGGTGGTTGGTTGGTTGGTGGGGTATAGTAGTTACATATAACGCTGAGGGGTCGGCTGGGCTGTGCTCTTCTTACTCTTACACCTACGCCTGCTCCTGCTCTGTAGCAGCTGAGTTGGTAGGAGTAGGTACCTAGGGAAAGGGGGGAGAGAGAGTGTGTGTGTAAGGTAGGTAGGGACCTAGGTAGGTATGGTTAACTGGAGCGCCTGGCTGGCTACCTTGTCCTTTCTAGTACAGACATACACACACACACACACATACACACGACTAGGTTAGTATCCAGCAACGCAACCCAGTCCGATGCGATACGATGCACTCGAGCTGCGCTGATCTAATCTAATAACCAGCCAACTCGGCGTACCAGCCAGAACGTAAAAACAATCATCTACGTTCATTTACGCTAATCTACCTACCTCACACACTCTCTCTGTCCTTTCTTCATCTCTTCATCTATGCCACACCCCTCCACAGCTACAGCTACAGCTACACCAACACCAACGCGCCTCCTCTCCTCGCCACCCCCGCGCTCGCATCACTTGCATCATAACCCTACCACAACCACCGCCACCGCCACCGCCGCCGCCATAATCATCACGATCATCAACATCATCACAATCATCACCACCACCGCACCCACCAACCCCACCCCACATCACACATGCACATGCACATGCACATCACACAACGCCGCCACTCCACTACAGTCCCGCACCTCCACAGTCCCTTGGCTGCAAACACCATATCGAGTTAGCATAGCTTCCGCACCTCCCGCACTCCCGCGCGATCGGCGCCGAAAGGAAACGAAACTAAAAGAAAAGAAAGGGGCGGCAGAGGCGTCGGCGGGAAGGCGGGAAGGACGGCAGGGAAAAGTAAGAAGGGAAGGAAAAGGAAGGGAGAGAAGAAAGTGCGTGCGTGCAGACGCAAGCAATCAAGCAAAACAAACAAGCAACCAAGTGGCCAACCAACCAACCAACCAAGCCAACAGTGAAACAAGCAAAACCAACACACCCACCACCTATCTGCGCTCTAAAGTGGGGGTACATAGGGGGTAAAAGGAAAAAAATAAAATAAAAATAAAAGATAGGTGGGGGGGGGGAGTATTAAGAAAAAGCAAACTGACATCAAGGACGTAAATAAACAAAATAAATAATTAAAAAGAAAACCAAGCAAGCAAGGCTATCTAACTACTCCTTTGCCCCTCCCTCTCCCCCCTC